AGTTTAAAATGTCACCTGGAAATGTTAATAAAACATTCGGTTTAAAATGGCACTTAAGGATGCGGTCGTGTAAGCGAGAATGTGTACCAACTCTTCAAATGCATTTAAATCCGCATAACTGCCTGCAAGCTTCTCATATGGGGTTCAGTTGTACCAATCAAAGCGTTTGAGTGGCATGTTTAATCATCTCCATCTAATCACTTTAAGCTCTGCTCAACATCTTAGAGAAGTGCTTATCAAGATGGCCCTCTGGAGTGGGATCACTGGAAAGAGTCTGGGAAGGAAACGTGGCGTCATAAAATGGGAGCCTTGATATGTAGGATCACTTTCATGTCCCTCCAGCAGCGCTCAGCGGGAGTCTACCCTAACATACTTTTCACTGAGGCCAAGTGTGTTGTACACTCTTTGGGTACCTTGTGTTGAGCTCAATGTGGTTTCTGTGCAAGGTCAGTGCTTGCGTATCTCAGAGGCGTTGATATCATCATACAAGCTATCTGTGGTGGGAAAAGCATTCCGATTATTTACTCAAGTAAAGGCACAAATTCAAGTAATAGTGTTGCATTCTGGATTTTTCTTAAATAAAACAGCAGAAGCATTATCAGCTAAAAAATACTTAAAAATCCAAAATAAAAGTACAGATTAAGAAGAATGACCCTTTCATATATTATTAAACATATAATTTAGTTATTACTACTGAATCAGGAGACTCGCAATACCATTTGTTACCACTTTCAAGGAATTTACTTTGATGTTTGGTGCATACAATGAACATCAAGAGGAATTAAACAACAAATAAAGCTGTTTTAAGAATGAGAACACTGTACAGTGTTGTGCAGGTAGCTTTTAAAGTCACAGCATGGTGAAAAATAAGCTATTTCTACCTACTTTTGATACAGTTGGCTAGTTAAATCCTTAACTATGTACCATATTTAACAAGATGGTCATACAAGTTTTGTATGTTAAGTCTCAACCTGTAGCGTAACTAGAAAGTAACATCATGATTTCAATTCTAAATCCAAAGTTGATTGAAATGAGCTTTCAATTTCAATCTTTGATTTCAAAGCAAACACACAAAAAATAACAGAAAAACAACACAGCGTAACTTACTGGTGGCCTGCAGCTGCTAGGGGTGGGGTAAAAAACTGAAACAGCATAGTATCGCAATTTTTTTGTGTGGCAATATCATAAGTAGTGATTTTCTTTATCATATAGCCTAAATTATTATTATTACAAATACAAAACAAAAAATCAGGTAGCCTACTAGAATAATAGAATCAGTTGCTTTTTTCAGTCCACTAGATACATTTTGCTGCTGCAAAAAAAATGGCTGAACTGGGATGAACAGACTGAAAACTATCTTATTAGATAAAACAGATGCTGACAAAGTTTTCCTTTGGGGACATGATTTACAGTTGAAAACTGCTAATAAATCACAGCATATCGCAACATGTTTAAAATCACAATAATATTGTATCTTGACTTAAGTATCATGATAATATTGTAACGTGGACTCTGGTGATTCCCACCCCGAGCAGCTGCACTTTTTCCAGGCGCCATGCCCACTGTTGAAGTCGGAGATCACGGAAAAATAACAACTGGAAAATCCCGCTGCTTTACTGAAGTTACCCATGTACTAACATTTTGCCTTCCCAATGAGTTAACAGCTTAAGTGTTGTTGACATAAAGACTACAGTTTGTAGGCTATGCTACTTAAGTGAATTAATACAAGGTGGCTTTTTGCAGGTTAGGAAATGTTGTAAAGTGTTTTTGCAGTATCTTGCTGGTAGTCAGCTGCAAACATCTTCGGCAATTTTCTTCTGGAATGTGACTAAATTTTGTTTTAATTTCGTATGCACATTGTCAAATTGATATCCTTTTAAGAAACTAGTATGAACTGCTTCTTTTTAGTAGCTTTAGATAACCAAACTAGATTTCTCCCTAGGATTGCTTTGCTGTTGTTCAACGTCGTACAGTGTGAAGTAATTGCCAATTAGCAAAGTTGTGCTCTCAGTGTAGCTTTCACAGCAGTGAAGTGATATCACATTTGATACCATGTAGCCTATCTTTTTAAAGAAGAATTGACATGTAAATGAAAGTTGTCAGGGCATAAAACTAATGATCTGTTGACGGTTATGAATCAAGACTCAAAAGTCTAACAATGGCACAGCCCTCAGTGCCGAAATTAAAGTTTAAATTGAGTTGAATTGTGACCTTAAAATCAAAAGTCAAATTGAATCGTGGATTTGGAGACACCTCTGGAAATGTAATGGAGCAGAATTTTGTACTAGCATTTAGTGAAAATACCTAAGTAAAGTACTATTACATAAACAGTGTCAAGTACAGTAGTGGATTTGCTTCACACTATTGTAAAACGTGAGCCCAAGACACTCAGAAATGGCCATCAGTATAAACTGCCTGACCTTTCACAGATTGAAGGAGGCAGTAAAAGAGAAGAATCATCATCGTGCATTTTAAAACAAACAGATTACTCACAGTATTATATGTATAAATAGCATTTGGGTGCCTTTTTAAGCTTTCATTAAAGGTTGCTCTGCGCTATAGTGAGACCCATTAGATTATTAGTTCCAGCAGCAGTGAACATGTGAATATATATCATAAGTTATAATTACCATGTGGTATTTATACTGGTTTCCTATTACAACACCACATCAGAGGATATAGGAAGAAGGAGTCAAAGGAAAGAAGGGGGTTGAGACAGATAGAGGGGGGGGGATGAGAGCACACCCTTGGCAGGATGTCAGCTCTGTGAACACACAGTGCAGAACACTGCCAGTGAATTCAATACGCAAGGATAGAGAGCTGCAACACACACACACACGCATAGCGCCATGAAGTTGTCTGCTCAGATCGCAATCGGTTCTGCAGATGCTAGCCCTGCCTCTCTCCTTTCCAAGAATCCCTTCTGAGGTTTCCAATATCAGGAGGACTACTCCTGGGTGTGTATTCATCAAGCAAAGCTGTTAGCTGGCTTCGTGATATGTTACCAGCTAGCTTTGCCTCATGTGTGGATAGATGTGGCGTCTGTGCTTATGCAGAATAAACTGTGCAGATAGATACACATACAGTAATGCATGTGTCCAAATGCATACACACAGATGTGCTGGAGAGCAGGCAGAAGGCCCTCAGGTTTTGCAGCGCCTAGACTGAGATTTTTGTTGTGTACATAACGGCAAACACATAACAGGAACCACTTAGGTGCTTGGTCGTCAGCATGTGGCTCGCTGCTCATGATAGCTTATTTAAGATAAAGTGTCTGCGTGGGAGAGATGAATTGAGACAGAGATAATTTCAGTGCCCCGTTGAGGGTCTTTCAGCAGTAAATGTAAACAAAAATGCTGCAAATCATTTACCTACACTAATTGAAGCCATTAAACGGAGCCTCATGACATGCTCTACTTAGTTAATTGAGGTGAGTTATTGATCTGTCAGCAGCGTGTGAGTCAGGATACTGTGCGCTTTGTCGTCTTTCTACATGAGTGATATATGAGTCAATATCAAGATAACCAGTCAGACAGAATCACCTTTTTTTCTAGGCTCCAGACTATTGTCTTTTACCCCTCTGCTTATCTCTTTATCCTGTTTTCTCCCGCCCCCCTGGCTTCACCACAGCCCAGCCAGCCGTCCCCCCACCAGCATGGTGCCCTTCTTCCCGCTGTCCCCCTGGGCGCTGACACCAGACACCTCCTTGTCCCACTTCTCCCTCCCTTTACCTCGCTGTCGCAGCCCACACAGCTCTCTCCCACATTGGCCCCGTTCTCTGCCCTTCTCTGACCCACTGTCCCCCAGTTGCCCCCTGGCCATACCTCCCTCGCCTCTTCATGCCCTCCTGCCCGTTCCCTGCCCCCATCGCTGCTCCCCACACTCCCCTGGTCCAAAGGGAGCAGACAGAGCTCCTGATTATCTCTGTGTGGCAGCCTCTGTTTTGTGCTCTGATTAAAGGAGCAGCATGTGGTCTGTGTGTGAGCGGCCCGTACAGACGCCGCCGTTGGGCTAATGCTAACATTACGTGCTTAATCATTTATGTCTGGGAGACGGGCACAAAGGCTTGGAGGGGATGGAGGTACGGGGGGGTGCTTGGGTATTTATCAGTGGCACAGATGCACTCAGGCGCACACACACATGCTTCCAAGATAACGGCCCCGGTGCTTAGTATGGCATAAACGGGGCACGCTGCAGGCTACGATGTCTCTGCAAAACTCACATATCATCTTTATAAAATGGGTAGCTGGGGGGGGTGATTTCTTTCCCCTTGAGTTTACAGTGTGAGTTAAACTGGTGGTCTGTTTAAAAAATCTGTCACTGGATAAAACAAACAAACATAACAAGCACGGCGTATGTGGACGTTTCCACAGACGCATTAAATATTGAAGGATTAGATTGTCTCCAGGTCTCTAAACGATAGTATTTGGGCACCCACACTCGTTCTCCCCGCTGTGCTCCTCTCCTCTTTCTCCTCCTCCTCCTCTCTCGTCTGTCTGCTCCTCTCCCCTCACTGCCAAGCAGCCTGTCCCTCCAACACACACACACACACATCACTACTCACGCACACACGCACGCACACGCACGCACAGAGGCAGCCAATAGGAGAGCACCAGTCTCCCCATTGCTTGCCACTCAATGCCTTGTTGCCAGGACAACAGGAAGGCATGAGACCCACTTTACTTGAGCATTTTAAACTTGGTGTTGACTCTTTTTCTGAAAACAAGAAAAGGTCTCCCTCTGTAAAATTGCTCCCTCTAATACTCTTAGGTCGACGGCAAATCCTGTCGTTATCAGCCTGTCCCTCGTGGTCCTGTCTGTCTCGCCGAATGTTCCCCAGAAAGATGTTTTGCAAAAATACCAAAGATATTCTCGTGCATCAGCATGAAAATCACCATCCTTCACTTTGAAAACACTGTCAGACCATTTTTTTCCTGGCACACACATTCATTGGAGTGCAGCCCTCATTTTTGTGTTTTGCCTGTTTTTTTCCCCTCTAGGTCTACAATGACGATTGGGGATATGCTTCTTTTGGTTTTGATCATCCTGGTCCTTCCCTGTTCGAGCTTGGAAGGTAAGTGTGCGGTCACAAAACACAGCTTGTCCCGAGTACATGCAGTAGCTGGAAGGGTGTGTCTCCGTTCCTCTATTCTCTTTTACTCTGGTTAAACATACACACAATCTCTCAGCCTCTGTGTCTTTTCTCTGCCCCCCCTCTAGTCTCTCACATGCATAGACCAAAAATTCACAATTTTTTTTCCCCTTTCACCACCCCTCCCCAGTCTGTCTCCGTCTCATCTGCTGTCTCGCAGTGTTATTTTAAACAACTGCAGTGGCGGTGGAATGCAGTGGAAAGTGGAGCTTTTTCAGGGCGGCAATCCACACTTGTCCCCATACTTACAATCGACGACGCACATGCACCCTTACAAGAGGGATAAGCACTGATCATCTGTTGTCACAAAACATTTGGGAGCATATTAGAGATTAAAGTCCTGCACTTAGTCTTCTTTCAGTGATGAATTCTGACCTGTTCTGTAATCGTTTTCCTTTGTAGGTGATGTCAATGCGAGAAAGTCTGAATGTGTGTGTGACGGCGCATCCTGCAGCAATGGGGACCGGTGTTTCGGCCAGCAGTGCTTCACCTCCCTCTCCACGCTGAACGGGACATTGGTCCTTCAAAAGGGCTGCATTGTGGGTAATGAGGAAGGGTCTTCGCGATGTGGAAGCCTGCCAACTCCTGAGCTGGTGGTGGAGTGCTGCTATGGGAATTTGTGTAACATGAACATCTCCTTGCAGTCACCGGTGAAAGGTGAGGTGTTTGCATTATAACAGGGTGTGAAATCCAAACCTCTGTAGGATTTTCATTATTATAAAACTAGGCCGTAATGCTATATTAGGGGCACACATCCCGCCCAGTATTCACATATGCTCAAAATGCCCAACCTACCCCAATATTTGTTGACATGCTATGACAGGCAATCATGCTACACCTTCTAATATAATCATTAGCCAATACAATCATCATAAATCAACTTAACAAATCGCCATTATTTTTTATCACTGGTTTTAGTTTTACGGTGTAGGCTTCTGCAGTTCAGCGTTTGGTCTGTCCATGTAGTGCTGCCATACCTCAGACGAAGCAGTACTTGATTGCTTGTGGCAACAAGGCACAACGCTGCACTGTTTCTCTCATTACTTTCAAATGTATCAAAAAAGGTGAAAACTAGAATCTATTGTAATATGGGTGTTACGTACTAGGCTGAATTCTAGTTGCTAGCACAGCCGTGAACTGCAAGAACAACTGTCTCCAGGGCTGCTGCCTGACATTCTCTTCCTATAGAAATAGTGCATATATATATATATATATATATATATATAGAATTGAATGTGGAGCCCTGTGTATTCCTATGAAACTTGCTCTGTGACATATGAAGCCAAAATGGTTCAATTGCTACGTATAAAATGAAACTCCTGGATTATCTGGGGATTATCAGCACTACTTCTGCACTATGCAGCCCATAGAGCAGGTGCACTAGGGACTTATGGCGGCCGAACTCTGCCAAGTGTGACCAAATGGCTAACTTACGGTTAACCACTCCACTAACTTGAATGGGGATAAAAATGTTGAAGCTTGTGGCTCTTCTAGATTTTCCAAATGTTGTTGGACGACATGAATCAAATCCTGATAGTAAAAGGAGTCATTTTGCGGGGGTTGTGACACTTCAAAAAAATGTATCCGCTGATTTGCAGACACCTCTTTTGCTATGTAAGTCTATAGCCCTGTTTCCACCAAGAGTCCCTTGGTGGAAACAGGGCTATAGAGTACATTACAGGGTTTCTGCTTGAGAGTGATGTCATGATAAATAGCTTTAGTACTGTTTTTTAAACAACTTAAAACCAAGAAAATATCAGTGTCATCTGTTGTCAGTATTCTACCTTAAATTGGCGTTGGCATTAGATGCTGTCTAGGTATTGAATTTTGGTCACCTCACGTCACAACCAAAAATCAACCCAGTATCAGTGTTGATGGCCAGCTGGGTACAATGAAACAAGAAAAGGTTAGACAAAAAAAGAAAAGAAAAAACAGCATTGTAATACATTATATTATTATTATTGTAAAAAGAAATTTAAAAAAGTCAATCCATGTGTTAGTGATTTTTTGAATATTTTTGAGTGGAAGTAAATTAGTTGTTGTTGTTTTTGGTGTGGGAGAACAAAGCGTCTGGCAGATTTGGTCCCCCCCTCCCCCGATGTTGACTCCATAGCCACAGCTTTGTCATGAAATATGAGGAAAGTGTCATATATTTTCTGTCAAAACTCATTCTGCACTCAGCCTCCTCAGCCAGCCAACACAGATACATTTTCATGTTTTCTGATCTGAGTGAATGCCATTTAATTTAATGGGATACTAATGGTATTGCTCTAATGGGTTTCCCCATATCTCTATTTCCTCTTATCAGATACAGAACTGTCTGCTGGCAGACCAGTCCTCAGAGACCAGGAGTGTGTTTGCGAGGGCGGCGTGTGTGAGCATGACCATCGCTGCGCAGGCCAGCACTGTTTTTCCTCTCTCAAGATGATTGATGGGGTGGCCGTCCAACAGAAGGGCTGCCTGAGGGACGACGAGGAGGGCAGAGCCACCTGTGCCATGCCACCCTCATCGGCCCATGTTGTCAAGTGCTGCCAGGGCCATCTGTGTAACATGAACGTCACTGTGCAAGCTCCAGGGAAAGGTGACTTTGTACACATTGTACACATTTTTCTTGGCTGCCGTTCACCATAGACCTTATGTCACTCAAGATAATTTTGTTTTATGACAGAAATGTTGATTTTTAAAACACCATAAAAAGCTTGTATGTATGTTAATAGTGATGCAAGAACAGCTTTAAAGGTCCCATTTTATAAAAGTTGGATTTCCATGTCTTTTTTAATATAAAGCAGGTGTAGGTGTTATATTAATACTGTGAAATTATCAAAACACTCAATCTACAGAGACATGCACACAGTCCATATTCAGAAACTGTGCCTTCAAATGAGCAATCAGGACTTTTGTGAAGTTGTGATGTCACAACTATACTATAGAGACTGTTTTAAACTTAAAACATAAACATTCTTAAAGGGAAATTTTGGTTTATTTCAACCTGTCTCCTATCGTCCTAAATTTGTTTCAAGTGACTAGTGACATAAAAATAATAGTTAGCATGTTAGCCGTTAGCCTAGATACAGCTGGGGTGCATAGTAATGTCAGACCTGTTAAAATGTAAGTGAACGGGCATACTTCAAGTGCAAAGTTAGTCCACTAAACAAGCTTTTTTCCCACAAAGACCGCCTCATATCGTTAGGATAAATGTCAGAGAACATATAGAAAACGACATGTAAACGTGTTGTCTTACCTTACCGGTGTGGTGCCATGTTTTTTGGAAAAAAAAAAGCTTGTTTAGTGGACTAACTTTGCACTTGAAGTATGCCCGTTCACTTACATTTTAACAGGTCTGACGCTACTATGCGCCCCGGCTGTATCTAGGCTAACGGCTAACATGCTAACTATTATTTTTATGTCACTAGTCACTTGAAACAAATTTAGGACGATAGGAGACGGGTTGAAATAAACCAAAATTTCCCTTTAATGAGTCCCCATGTGTTACTTGTTGGAATGATTTGCATTATATTTGTGCGCTCCACTCGCACTGGGAAGTCAGAATTTCCGAGTTCCCAGTCACAAATTTCAACTGTAACGCCCCTAAAGTCGGATGTCTGTCTCTGAGGAACCTCACCAACCCCTATCTCAAAATCCAACATGGCTGCTCTGCACATCAACAGTAGCGAATTGTAGTAATGTACTGTTCATTGGCACATGGGCATTCTATTTGTGGACATGCCGTTATAGTGGCTAGAAAAGGTATTACCAACGACATCTTGGTTTTCTAACCTGTACTTGAATGCAGTCAACTTGGGTGTGATGTCATTCCCAGCTCAGACATCTGACTTCCGAAGTTATTGGAATGCAGCATATGTAAATTACTTCAGCTGAGCGGACATGAACCCAAGCTGTTGCCTATGCGGTTCCAGTGAAATGGGCTATAAAGGTAGAAGGTGGTGGTTTCATGATGGTGCAGAGACACAGAGAGTGCAGATGCGGCACACCCAGAAACACTGACAAATCAGAGCAGACTGGGCTTTTTCAATAGGGGAGGGGCTTAAAGAGACAGGTGCTAATACGGAGCGTTTCAGACAGAGGGTGAATACAGGTGTTCAGCAAAGACAGTATGAGGAAAATAAAGTGTTTTTCTTTAACCATATGAGTAACTGTTTTCTGGTACAGAAACACTTTAAATTGGTGGTATTCTGAATACAGTTAATGTCTTTAAAAATTGATTACTTGAAGGGATTACTTTGTTGTTGTTGTTGTTTTTTTTTTAATATTTTACCATCATGTCCTACCTGAATGCAGCGTGAGGAAGCGTCAGTTTCTGCGCCGCGGTTTTGAGCTGATCTGTAGTAGGACACCCTTTTTCTATTTATTCCTGTCTCTCGCTTTGAAACCTCCACAATGGACAGGGAACCGCTGATTCATGAAGTTAAAATGAGGAATTATCTACACAACATCCCTTCATTACATTTAAAAAATCCTTAGTAAAGTGGCAGCAGGCTGGAGAGAGATCACCAGGGAGCTGAAAGTTTCTGGTAAATCACCATCGCTAATAACAGGCTACTTCCTGTTGGCTGTATTGTAAGTCATTTCCAGTAAATATCAGAATATAAAATGTGTGTTTACTGTTTAAAAAGTACAAATATGAAGACATAGAAAGCTCAATTCCATTTTTAAGTGGTTACGTCTCCAGTCGAGTGCACAGCTGATAGGTTGCCTTGGTGGTTTGTGTACATGATGTATCAGAAGTGCATATTTAACAGATTCATTGTGAGAGCGCCGCTCACTTGCTGTGGACAAGGTGTAAAATTTTCCATGAACAGATTTTTAATGTGTGTGCAGCGCACCTGCCACATGACAATGGACAAGTAGATGCACAGCGAGGACACCGTTGTTTGTTTTGAAATGAAAATATGAGACCCAGACCAATGAATTCAGCAAGATGATTTTGACGTAATCCAAAGTATTACTTTTCTTAGTTTGACTAATCTAATGGAATATGTTACTAATTACGTTTTGGGGCATGTAGTCAGTAATCTGCAGTGGAATATGTTTAAAAAGTAAGCCTTTCAACACTGCTAGTAGAAACTCAAAATACAAGTATGATCCTGAAAATGAGCGTAATATCAGACCTTTATTGATCTCTTATTTACCAGCCATGTCCTCTTCCCAAATCTTTTGCAGAGGAGGAAGTGAAGCCCCTGATCAAGGAGGAGCATCTGTGTGTGTGTGAGGGCAGCTCATGTGAAAAGAATCACTGCACAGGCCACCAGTGTTTCTCCTCTCTAGCAGTCAGCGCCGGCTCCCTGGTGTACCAAAAAGGCTGCTTCAAGATCTATGAGCAGAGCACGATGACCTGCAAGACCCCACCTTCCCGAGACCAGATTGTGGAGTGCTGCCAGGGGCACCTGTGTAACATGAACAGCACTGTGGAGCTGCCTGTTAAAGGTACGCTGCTGTTGTACCCAGAATGCTGTGTTCTGTACATTTCTGTCAAAGATGCTCAAGAGCTCCATCTGTTGATTTCAGAATTGAACTGTGTACCAGTGCTGCCTAGATTTCATCTACTCAGAATAGGAATGACCATGTGGGTTAGTTATGACTGTTTTAGATAAATTAACACACATTTATTCCTCTCTATCATTCTCCACTGAGAGGACAACGTCAGCCACTGTGAAATCATCTGCCACGGCTGTTCTGGATGGTTTCTGTTGGCCTGGGTTACACCTCTGTGTGGTCACACTCCTGGCACCTTATGAAACAGAAATGGGGGAGACAGTGGGCAACCAAAGGGAGGTTTTGAATATTATTTAGTCACGGTCCACTTCCCCTCTGTCCTCTTGGAGGCTGTCAGAGCTGGCTGACAAGAGCCCAGAGGGTGAAGCCACCTGGGAATGAAAGGAGAGGCAGGCATCTATACACAGAGCTGTTGTTGTTGTTGTTGTTGTTGTTGTTGCCCTTTTTGTTTCTTTCACCTTGACTTTCTCTCTACAGCAGTCTTTTAGATTATATTTTATGGATTAATATTTATGCCTAAAACACCTTAGCTGTATCTTTTGATTGTACATTTGGACATAGGCGTAGATTTTGGGGGGACACAGGGGACATGTCTACCTCAAAATTTAGAGCGTGCATTTGTCACCTCCAATGAAGACATTTAAGTAACTGAGGAAATTTGTTTTAACAAAATGGAAGACATTTACACCACAAATTACTGCAGAAGATGCACAAATAGATAGATAGATAAAAAGATTACATGTTTGATGCTCAAAATTTTCTGACAGAAGACCCCCAAACCCCTTGTTTCCCTATTCAGGTCTGAAACAAAACCTAAGACTTTGCATTTGGGGATTAGATCAGAGATAGATAAAATTAGAAAATTATAAATATTTATGTTTACCCGGATTAACTGGAAGCACAACCATTTTCACAGTGTTGCAGACCTATACTGTCACAAATACAATATTTAAAGGTCCAGTTTGTAGGATTTAGGGGCATCTGTTGGCAGAAGTGGTATATAATTTTCATATGTTTTCTAGGGATGCACAGATTTATCAACCCCACTTCACTATCTGCCGGTATTTGCCTTGTTGACTGTCAAAACAAGATGACATTCACCAACGTCAGTGGCGGATGTTTTTCCGCTGTATGACATCAATCTTGTTCAGGCTAAAAAGCAGGGCTCGACACTAACAGTGTCCAGTCATCTCGGGGACAATAGGAAACATATTTGGGATGAACAGTGATCTTCCCCAAGATGCTGTCGGGACAGCAGCAAGTAAACTGCAGTAAACTCACTATCAACATGACAGAAGACGCACCTTCATGTTACCCTAATAAAGCTACATCGTGAGAAACGAATCCGTGTTGACATGGGAGGAAAGCTAATTAACGTTAGCTGTTAGCGGTAATGAACTGCTGATAGCGGAATTAATGTTCTCGTGGTATGTAAAAAAAGGAATTGTTATGTTTTCATTACCTTACAGCAGACATCAGGGGTTTGGATGTAAGCATGGCTTTCATGGTCAGTACAGCAGCTTCTATTGATTATAACAGATGCCCTCTGCAGCAGACATGTCGAGCTGCATCCATCTCTTGTTAAAATGAGCCATTTATACCTACATACAGAGCAGATCCTCTTCCACGGAGTCCGCCATTTTGTTCTACAGTAGCCCAGAACAGACAAACCAAACACTGACTGTAGAAAGGGTCATTCGCATTTTCGCATCGGCCACTGTAGTTCTCCTACACGCTTCATACATGAGTTTAAGTTTGGCAACCTCACTGCTAGATGCCATTAATCCTACACACTGGATCTTTTAAGTCTAGCTAAATGCACCTCAGCCTGTGTGTTTGGTTTGAGTCTAGTGAGCTCCCAGAATGTGTTGCTGGTTATGTGTATTTGGGAGAAACGGGCCATTATTCGAGTTGAGAAAAGGGGATCATTGTCTGTGCTGCCGGCAGAGCTGAGCAGTCTTTCCCTTGGAATGTTTGGAAAGTGTGAATGGTGGTCACTTATTCAGGCTCGCCTCTGCTGCCTTGATGAGATCCACTTTGTGTGTGTGAGAGAGCGAATGCTTAAGCGCATGTGTGCTCTACGTGCACCCCCACCCTCAACTGGTTTCTTCTGAAGGTCTGCAGAGAGCTGCAAACCTGTGATTTGTGTCGGTGTCTGTGTGTGTGTGGTCCAGTCAGAGGAAAAACCCACAGCAAAGAAAAAGTTTTCCCTCCAACTTACATAGTTAGGATCACCTTTTCTTGAATCATTGCTTCAGTGGACGCTCCCATCTGTTGTTTACTGAAGCTCTCAAATCTTCTGACAAATACAAGCCAAATTTAATCCTTAAAAAGCAAGCTTTATTTTGTGTTCTAAAACATATCCAAAAATGATGACCTAATATTCTGAAGAAAAGTCTCACGTTGTTGATTTTTCTCTCCCCTCACAGCCGATGAGCTGTCCAGCTACAGCGTGACCACACTGGCTATTGTCATCGTGGCACCCATCATCGTCCTCATCATCTTCTCGGCTATCGCTATCCTGGTGTTCAGACGCATCCACAACAACCAAATGGAGAGACTAACATCACGAGACGCAGAATACGGAACTATAGATGGCCTCATAGCATCCAACGTGGGGGAGAGCACTCTGGCGGTGAGTAGGTGGAGACCATGTAGGAGGATGCCTCCCAACATCATTAGAAAGAGCGGCATAAGAGCTGCTCGAGGCACAATTTAATTGAGTAGTATGTTGAATATTAAAATGGAATTCCAGTCCTTTATTTTAACCCACTTCTTTTGCTCTGCGCAATATACTGTAGGTGTTTTAATTGACCTCTAGTGAAAAAGTCTGCTGTGTGAAAGAAGTTTTAATAAGTAAATAACGCCGACTTGCAGAGTTAGTTAAAAACAGTGTCATTAGGGCACTTATGAGGGAAACAATAGATAGCTTAAATGTGTTGGCTTTATTACCTTGATGTATCTGACATGTGGTGTGAGCACAGCTGTATTATGTAAGTTCAATGCTTGGTGAAAGATTATATAATATTAAATCACTTGTATCGGGATCAGGAAAAAAAGCTTTTAGAATACTTAACAAGACATCTGCCTTTTTACAGAGCAGGCGAAGGCCCAATATGTGTAATTATTCACCATATGCAGTACAAGTATTTTCACAATACAATACATACGATACAATATGGATGTGAACTTGAGCAAAATTAAAACGTTAGTTCAGTATAATCAAACATTTTACAGCAAAACAAAACATTAAAAATGTGTTTTAAAGAACATTTTGAGAATGATAGATGATCCAAGCTTGTTTATTTATCATGGGCGGTCTGGTGGCTCTTTCTTGAATCACAGAGTTTTTAAAGTCACACAGCAGTGCGAATGTATACCAACAACAGAGATGGGAAAATCCCTTTCCAAAATGATGTATTGTACTAACTAACCTGAGTTGATTCAGCTGATGAGTTCAAACGCTGTGGGATTAGCGGGGACTTCCACCTCGTCTTTGTACACATTTGTGCCATTATCACAAGTTGATATACAATAGAGACAGGATGGCTCGATAAACCTTGTTTGCCTCTTTTTAATCCAGATTTGTGATCAAGGCGGTCATGTGGTGGCACTGTAATCAAGGGTTTAAGTCTTATATGCTGTGATTAACCCAAACATGGCACAAACACTGAATTGAAGACAGCATGGGGGTTCAAAGTTCAAAGAAAGCATTTTTTTCTCCTTCAGCATCAACCATCACACCTCATGGACAAAGCACTCACTTTATGACGGGAGCAAAAACATTTAAGGAATAAATAAAAAAAGGGGGGGCACAAAAAATCCCCAAAACCTTTTTTTTCATGAAAGTATGGATAGATGCACTGTATAAACACACAGGTAAAGTTTAAGCCTTAATATATTATAGTGCTTAGTGTCATTGTCAGGTCAACATGTGCAACGCCTGTCTCCAAAAATGATTAAATTCACTCCTTTGTGTACCTCCCAGATCGTAATCTCAAGAGTATTGGGTAATTCTTATGTAAAAACATTTAAAACAATGCATAGTGGCTACATATTCATGAAATGAAATGTGTGTGTGTGTTTGTGAGTGTGTGTAGGTGGGTGGTGCTGTTGCTGGAACTCAACTCTGAAACTTGTTTTGAATCTTCTCAGTGATTTTCCCCGTCTGTTAGAGGAATGTCTTTTGCTATTTATTTTCCTCTCCGCTCAAGCGTGGATTTTAAGTTTTCTGCAGAGCAGTTGGTGTTTTTGAGGCCCGCTAAACTGATCCCAGAGTTTAGGTGGAGTCCTGTGGTTAGTGTTCAGCCTGAGAGACAACCCTGCACAGTCACTGGCTCACACACTGTATAATCAAGTTCTGCAGAAACTGTTCATGGTCGAGCTTTAACTCCGACAAAATACACGGCTGTTACTGTCGCTTTTGTGATTCTATATCCTCACACAAACAAACATTGTACATAAAGATACATTACTGTGTTTATTTTTTATTGAATACATTCATTTCACATCTGTAGTTAAGGTTTTCAGCTGTTATGGAGCGTAGAATCTCTTCCCATAAGCATGTTTAAACTCTAAACCCCACATTATCTCATTTATCTTTAATTATAAAACTTGTAAATAACATGTCCAACTGTTAAAGTGTGATCATTTGTGTGTTTATGTGTGAGAGAAAAAGAAATAGTTGATTTTGGCTCTCTTTCAAGCCATTTCCAAAGTCCATCAATGCACTTGGCAATGGAAAGCCCAAATATGGAGCCACAGAATGTTTGTTTCAGCATAATTAAAAAGTGCTTGGCAGCGCCATGAGAAAGGATATTATGAACAGTGGTGTGGCTGTGAAAAGCAAATCGGACTGAAACACATGTGGTCGTCCCTCTGCAGCCTGCTGCCCAGAAGTCGTCTCTGATTATGATGATATTGCATCGTTCTGATTGCATTCTGCTGCTTAACGGCCTGGCCCAAATATACCCTGCTAAAAACAATCCTCCTGTACCAAAGAGAGGGATTTAAACTCTCCGCAGAGCAACTCATCATTCATTTTATGGCCTCTGTCTTGCATTCCTGTGTTGTGATTCCAAATTGTCTCTCAGGCAGCTCTTGCATTATGCATCTGTTTATCTGAGGCATCACTCTTCTCTGTTGTTTTCAATCCTCATCCTCCCCTCCCAGTTTAGTCGTTTGTTTTGCTCAGCAGCTGCCGGCTCTGTTGCTGCGCACTGCCCTCCTGTGTCAGCGCCGGGACGCTGCACGTCTTATTGCTGAGATAAAAATAAAAGGCTTAGCAGCATTGCGCCTGTTTTGGAGTCTGGCCCTCGGATTAGATAAAATCTCCAGCACCCACACCAGTCATCAGGGAGGGGGTGGCACTTCTGTTGTTTACTCAGCAGGGGGCACCCTGCACCTCCAGCACAGACACACACCCACACACAAACACGCACACACACAATATCCTCGTACACACACTGCGTGCCCCCCTCTATCCCATGTGGGTGCCACATCAAAGGCGGCCTGCTTGTATTAGTCTCCATCTGAGTCCCAGATGCTCCGTATTTCATCATTTTTAGGCTGCAGCCACAGGATTCCTTTGGGAAGGTTTTCATTCAGCCAGCTCACTTGAAAATATAAACACACATGTAAATATACAAACCCTTTACTCTTTGTTTCTGTTTTTCTCTCTGCCAGGATCTTCTGGATCATTCCTGTACGTCAGGAAGTGGCTCAGGACTCCCTTTCCTCGTCCAGAGAACTGTTGCACGACAGATCACACTGAATGAGTGTGTGGGTAAGTAAGTGCCCTGTTAAAGGTCATTTTCATATTGACAATAGCACCGCCTCAGAAAACTTTGCCTCCTCATTCATTTCAATGAGGAACTCACACTGTGCTGACACAGGGGGGCACTGGTTCAAGTTAAGTGCAGCCGTACACCTTTTGGCAACACACTGCAGCTCATCTTACACAATAGCCCCTTTTCCACCAACATTTCCAGGAACTTTTATTTCCAGGAATTTATTTACCTGGGTAAAAGAATTCCTGGAAATCTGTGTGGTTTGTGTACTATGGTACACAATACTACTATTTCGTACCGGGTTTTGGTACCCACTCTTAATCAAAACACAAACGAAGTGAAGTTTGTTGAAATGAAATAAAGTTTACAGCCACACTGACACAGAAGTGCGGAAGGCTGCAAGTGTGTTTCACCAATCAGCGTTCTTCAGCAGACAGCCCTGCCCCTCAAGAATTCTGTGGAATCTGAAAAGTCCTACCCCCCTACTAGGTTCTTTTTTCAGGGAAAGTTTGGGGGGTGAGGAAAAAAAATTTCCCCGGGTAATTTCGGTGGAAATGCCCCAAGGTTTTTCAAAATCCTGGGTAAATGATAAAAGATCCTGCGGTGGAAAAAGAGGCTATAGTCACGTCACACCTGTGCAGCCCGTGATCCTGTTCTGCTGGCTGTTTCATTTATACAGATATTGCTTCTGTCTGTTCCCACCTCTGTTCCCAGCTCAGTGGCGAGACATCTCTGTCCCCCCATTTCACGATCATACCTTACATAGAGAATGGCGAGGCAGCACAACAGTGTGATATTCCTGCCTTAAAGAGACAGTGTAAAAGGGGCTTGCGCTGGACAAATACAGTATGTTTAAGGACATATATATCAGATAGAATACTTTGTAGCATTGTTTACCTCACATGTGTTGACAGAAGTGTAAATTATTAATGCTTTAATAACTTACCAGAGTTGTAAATTGTCCCTTGAAGGAGGGTAAAAACCCACAGCAAACCAACGCCAAAGAACTAGTGGCAATGACGATCGACTGTTGCAAAAAGCTGCACTTGAACACACCACAAAGACTACAGTGAACTGCCAACTAGTATGTACATTCTAGACTTGCATGAGAGGAAATAACTCTCCACACCAGCAGGTGGCAGTAATCTGTGTTTGTCATTAAAAAGGGGCAACCGGAAGGCGGACAGGATGCTAGTTAGCCAGTTAGCACATTAACAACACAACCTGATGTTAAAAGAACAAAGTGTTTTTACTGTGTGCTCATGAACAACAACACAAATTGCTATGAACCCATTCTGTTAAAGAAGTCAGGGCAAAAAAAAAAAAACAAACTTACCTCATATGTCAAGTGTGTTTCAGTCTCACTTCCTCTTGAGTTAAGTCGTTTGTCTGCCAGTTAGAGTGATTTCATTCGCTGATCGGCTCTGCCAATTTCAAACGCCAGTTCAACATGTCAGATTACCCAAAAAAAGTCAATAAGGCCTGACTAGTGCAAAGGGTGCAGGACACATCCCAAAACTAGGGTGACAGATACTCTCCATTGGCCTGACATTGACTGAAGGTGGACCTCCGCTTGGTGTGCCAGAGCCATAACTCACTGTGTAGCATCTTGTTGTCTAAAAACCCGTCAAACTGGACCTCCTGGTTCATATTTTTTACCAATACTAATACACTCTCTTTTCTGACCTGAAAATTTTCAGAGACTGTACAAAACATGCAATACAAGTACTTTATCCACAAGGAATAAATCCATTTGAAATAAATATCTGGGTTGCAAAACCAGCCAGTGCTGTGAGGATATTCTGAGATTGAGCAAGAATGAATGTTCCAGCAGTTCAAGTCCCTGGAGCCAAAATATTGCACAAATGTTAGTTTTGAGATTGTAGTATGTTAAGTGTCAGGAAAATATGATCAACAGCAGACCTATTTGGACCATATTGACAAACATGTTGCCGCAACTATCAGTGTTGAGGATTAAGTCACCTAAGTTGAAATAAAAACTCAACTCATTCCTCTTGAGGATTTGGATTTAAACTATCCAAGAAAATCAAATTAAATGTGCATGAAATAATTTGTGGCCAGTAGGGGGCAGCAAAAAAAATCGGACATTTACAGAGACACCAACACATTACCAGTTTACAAAGTTTTTGTCTGTCTACACATCAAAAAGCCACAGCGACATTAGCATTTATATAGGATTACTTTATTGGCCATCAGATAAATGTAATTTCAGTACCCACATTATTTCCAGCTTTGTTGTGGGGCTAAAACTGCAAAATGTTTGACTTTCTACACCTGCCACTCAGTAGCTTTATCTGCTGTCTGCCAGCCAGCATGCAGTGAACCTTATTACAATTTGTTGTTGCTGGAAAGTCCCCACAGAAAGACTAGCTCAGATTAACTAATGCTAATTCTGACATGATAGTATCAAAATTATTTAGTAAAGCAGCACATCGTCACAGGCTGATTTTTTTGAACTCAATTTCTGTATGCTGTTTGGTCATTTCTCCCATCTTTTTTTCGCCCGCCAGGTAAGGGCCGTTATGGTGAAGTGTGGAGGGGTCAGTGGCAGGGAGAGAGTGTCGCCGTGAAAATCTTTTCCTCCAGAGACGAGAAGTCCTGGTTCAGAGAGACTGAAATCTACAACACAGTGCTGCTGAGACACGAGAACATCCTGGGTATGTACCATATGTCATGTATAAAGGCTCAGTGAACTGTGAGAATGGCTACTGGACCATACTATGTGTTTTTATATTCCTAATTGCTTTCTATAATTCCATTGATTACAGCAGGACATAACATATGACAAAAAAAATCAAGAGGCTCTGAAGCTAAAAGGGACATTTCACCCCAAAATTAAACATATTAACCCTAACTAACCCTTCCTATCACATGTAGTGCCTTTTATCAGTCTGGGATGTTTTGGTGTGAGTTGCCAAGTGTTGGGGATATCGGCCTTCTTTAGCTCTATATTAAAGAGATGGCTGACATCTTTATGGTCGATATCTCCAACATTGGGCGGCCACACTAAAACAGTCTACATTAATAAAAAGCACTACAGCCAAGAGGGAAAATATATTTTTGATTTGGGGTGAACTGTCCCTTTAAAGTATTTATCTATTTAAAGATTATAATATATTCATCTGTCCTTTTAAGAAATACTGCAGACATTTCAAACACATACTACAGTGTGTGTGCATGTCAAGGCTTTTTTATTAATTGCATTGATACTCTTGATTCAGGCTTCATAGCTTCAGACATGACCTCGAGGAACTCCAGCACCCAGTTGTGGCTGATCACTCACTTCCACGAGATGGGCTCCTTGTACGACTACCTTCAACTCAGTACCCTCGATGCATCCAACTGCCTCCGCATGGCGCTCTCCATTGCAAGCGGCCTGGCACACCTCCATGTTGAGATCTTCGGCACTCAGGGCAAACCGGCCATCGCCCACCGAGACCTCAAGAGCAAAAACATACTGGTTAAAAAGAACGGACAGTGCTGCATTGCTGACCTCGGTAAGGAGACCGACATGTATATTATCAATACGCAGTTTCTATTTGTGTCTATTTCTCTAGATTGTAGATAGTAAAATGTATTTTAACATCTACTGGAGATTCCAGAGTTTCTAAAGATACAGAATATCAGGCAGAATTTTGCTGAAATGTGTATTAATATCAGCATAAAACAATTAGAATATCAAATTGAATAGTGCAGCTACTATAAGCACTGAGGCTGTGGCCTAAGTCACATACCCAATATGTGTGCTATCATTCAACATACTCTTGTGTGAACGAACAGGAGTATGCATTTTTTCGGACATATCGAGCTGTAATTCTCATGTCACTTCCCTAAAAGCCTTTTTGCCTGTTGAAGACATGTAACCATGGTAACTCATGCCAACCTCAACTTTTTATTACTGCACTTTGCAAAGTGAAATCTTATGGACCATTTCAAACTTGACAACATAAACATTCTACATGGGTCCCTTTGTATTTCCTGTTGGGATGTTTGTTAATGCAGAGGCTGACAGGAAGTTAACAGGGCCCAAAGCTGTTGCCTTAGCAACAGAGTAGCAACAAAAAGGTCTATACATACACTGGAAATGAAGCATTAATGATGTTACAGAGCTGTCGTGGTTGCTGTCTACCATTGTCTGTTATGAACGTTGTTGTCTACTGCATTGCATTTTGGGATATTTATGCCAGCATACACACCAGTGTTTGCATATCGTGATATTTTACTGGAAATAGCATGTAATAAATGTACTGTTTGTATCATACTAAGGTTTTGGACACACTTTAGCATTCTAAATAGCATGCTAGCATGGAATTTCGGACACAGCCTGAGTCTTGGGTTTGAATCTTTTCCTCTGTGTACACAAGGTTTTAACAAAGAGCTCAGGAGTGAAGGGGTGGAACGAAAGTTGTTGTTCATGGGTATTGCATAAGAGGTGCATCTGCAGTAATATCACTCCCCTCACATCTATCCACTAAGCCACATTTGTCGTTAATTTGAGAAGAACCATCGCTGCTTAGATGTACCTCCAGGTCCTTAATCAAAAACATATTTAGAAGAACTCGAGCCACTTTATCTAATACACCAATGTTCCATTTGCAGATGCTTGAGTAAAAACTAATTCAGGTACGGGCCATAACCTGGTGACTGGCCTGGCATGTTTACGGGCTCGATGTGATACATTCTGCTCCGGATGACGCATTTTGGTGTCTTGACAAACAGTAGCAGTTGTTTGTCTCCCAAGCGAGTTGTTCCTATGTTAGAGGTACATCATGTGGCAACAGGGTTGTTTACGTCAAACAAGTAGTGTTTTTCAGCATTTAAATCAGCTGATAGAGTGAGTCTGGTATTTTGTTTTCACTATAGGTGTCTGAGATTCACTGTGCAGGATAATGTATGTGCAGAGTTTGACACCAGAAGGCTGTTTTCATATACAAAAGTTTCTCAGTGCTCAACTTAAATCTGAGTTTAAGACACGTATCAATATGTATTTGCATGTATTTTCATACGTGCATTGTGTTTTCATGCTAGGTCTGGCGGTCATGCATTTTCAAGACACCAACGAGTTAGATGTGGGGAACAACCCTAAAGTGGGCACAAAGCGCTACATGGCCCCTGAAGTGCTTGACGACTCCATCCAGATGGACTGTTTTGAGTCCTACAAGAGAGTGGACATCTGGGCCCTGGGCCTCGTCCTGTGGGAGATCGCCAGGAGGACAGTCAGCAATGGTCAGTGCATGTTTTACACAACATAGTCCTGTTTCATTGTTGTCTTTTTAAAGATGGTGTTGTTGATGTGTTCTTTACATTTACAGCAATAAGATATCGTCGTGAACATGTGGTTATTTTCAGAATTAACGGAACCATTGCGTTAACTCGGACTAAGTAAAAGCTCCTCTGCTATTGACAGATAGATTTGGCCTCGATACACACTTCAACATCCACTGTCTGTGGTCTGCCAGAGGCATCTTTTGTGAAATAAAACCTGCTTCCTCCATCCACTGTCAAATGGGTTTATCACTTTATAGTAGGAACTGGGCTTTCAGCAGCACTTAAGATATTGATTTAACCCCGACACAGTAACCTCATACCTCTGTTTTGTCCCACGGCTGCACTTGAGAGCAAGTTATGGATAAAATAGCCATACCACAACATGATTTTTTTATTTATATGTGCTTTATGTGCCTGTCATTTGTCAATATAACTTTTCAACACTTTTGAGTGATGTGATCTTGAGAGTGATTTGCTGCGTGCTTTGCTCTACCTGCAGGCATCGTGGAAGACTACAAGCCACCGTTTCATGACGTGGTCCCAAGTGATCCCAGTTTTGAGGATATGAAGAAGGTTGTGTGTGTGGATCAGCAGAGGCCCAACATCCCAAACAGATGGTTTTCAGACCCGGTAAGAGTGATATTCATACTGTTATTAAAGGTCAACTGTGGTTTTAAACCTGGACACTATTTTCCCATGTTTCTGTTTCTAAGTGGAAACAACAATTTTTGAAATTGGTCAAGTATTGAGCAAGAGGGCTGCAGGCAGCAGCTGCAAAACAGGCTGCAGTGAGACCACTCGGGGATGTTTGCACTGTCATTTCATGTCCCCTACAAGTGCTTGTTTTTCCCACTGGAAGGTTCAGAGTTTAAGTGTCTGACAACCTTACTGTCTATGTCCCTACTGAGATAGACAGAGTAATATCCTTATTGTGATGCCTCCATTCTGGTAAAAGCCGTGGCCGGAGGCATTATGTTTCCAGGTTGTCCATCTGTTTGTCCCATTCTTGTGACTGTCACTGTGACCTTGGCTGTCTCATTCTCATAAATGCTATATTTCAGGAACATCTTCAGGGATTTATTTATTTTTTTTTTTTTTTCTCAAATTTGGCTCAAACATCCACTTGGACTTAACTATAAAGTGATTCGATTTTTGTGGTCAAAGGTCAAGGTCACTGTGAACTTGTCCATCTCAGTCTCAAGAATGCCTTGAGGTAGTTTCTTTGAATTTGGCACAGATGTTCACTTGGACTCAAGAGTGAACTGATGAGAATTTGGTGGCCAAAGGCCAAGGTCACTGTGACATCATGAAACATGTTTTTGATCACAACTCAGGAATGAATATGCTAATTATGACAGTATTTCACAAAAACATCTAATAGGATAAAATGATGAAGTGTTGCCATTCTATATCTGAAAGGTCAAAGGTCATCTTCACAGTGACATGCTAATGTTCTCCAAAAACACTTTTTCAGCCATTATTCGACGTCATAACTCAAGAACAGGTGGGGAGACATACTGAATATACTGAATTTGTGACGCTTATCTTCAGCGTCCACCTTGAAAAAGATGCGTGTGAAGCATCTTTGTTCTCACAGACAGACAGTGTTTCACAAAGGCAGACAACCGCGAGGTGGTAATTATAGCTTAACAAGAAACAGCCCTGAAAGTGCCATCACCAAACCCACCAGACTCCTTTTAAATAAACTGTAATTTTAGCGTATAAAGAGGCAGCATATTTTCATATGTAACTGGGTGAATTAAGGGGTTATTTCAAGCAAATCAGAGTGATGATTGATGGAAAAGTGAAAAAATGAACCAAGACAGTTTTATTGAGTTTTACTTTGTTACTGTCGACTTTGGATGAATTGTATTTTACAATGGTAGAATTACGGTTTATTTAAATGGAGTCTGATTTGTTTGGCAATAGTGATTTCGGGGCTGTTTCTGTTTGAACAAAAAGGTTCTCACTTTTTAACAAAAATGACCGTCTCTGTAGGGATCCTTTCCATAATGTTGTCAGACACTTAGAATAATAATTTGAAGATGTCAGTGGCGGCGGTTCTGTGGTGCAGTGGTTAGCATTGTCACCTCAAAGCAAGAGGGTTCCTGGTTCAAACCCTGGGGTGGGGGAGCTGTGTGGAGCCTGCATGTTCTCTCAGTGTGTGTTTTCTCCATGTCCAAAGACATGCAGATTAGGTTGATTGGTGACTATAAATTGCCCATAGGTGTTAATGGTTGTCTGTCTCTATGTGCCAGCCCTGTGATAGTCTGGCGACCTGTCCAGGGTGTACCCCGCCTCTCGCCCAATGTCAGCTGGGATAGGCTCCAGCCTCCCTGCTACCCCTAACAGGATGAATGATGACAGCATGAATAAATGTCAGTGGCAAAAACAAGCACTTTTAGTGGACTTAACTTGACGGTGTGCTCATGCCCCAAGTGGTTGCGTTGCAGCCTTTTTCGTGGCTGCTGACTGCAGCCCTCTGGACCAATTTCAAAAATTGAAGTTCCCATTATTTAGACACAAAATTAATCCATCTGAAAATAGCACATAATTCAAGTCTATGTGCTTTTGATATTCAGAAATATTTTAATTATGTTCTAATCTTGACAAGGCACATGCTTATTGAATGATTTCTCCTTTTAATTTCAGACTTTAACCTCCATGGCTAAACTCATGAAGGAGTGCTGGTACCAGAATCCATCAGCCAGATTAACAGCGTTACGCATAAAAAAGACTCTCACAAAGATCGACAACTCTCTGGACAAAATCAAAACAGACATTTGAGCCTGCCTTGAGAAGAAGAGGCAGACATACCTAAAGGCCTTTGAAGACATCCAGAGGGTGGACCATCCCAGACAAAACTGACAAGACAAGAGACTTGATGGGTTCAGTGCCCTTATAGTGGCACAAACCAGTATTTATTTTAAAACACTTGGCGGGACACATTTTGGCATCCAAAGATGGCTTACCGGGCATTTCTGAGACTGCCAGCGGTCTTGGAAATAGGAAATTATCTATTCAACTTAACGACATAGGAGCTGGACTGTTAGCAGCAATGTTCTTCAAGGAAGAAACTGTTACCTGGGCATTTGAGTAGGCTCGCTTTTGTTAGAACTGCAGATTTTGTTTGACACATTTTTTAGTTTGGAAAAAAAATGTCTGAACATATTAGCAACTTCACTTTACTCTTTAATTGTAAGGCATTGTTCATTTGCATCACGGTGGATTCATTTAAAAAGATGTCAACTTGCCAATTGAACTTGCCAATTTAATATGCATACTTTCAACGGTGTTCACAGTGAGCAGTGTTATGTTTTACTTTGCGTGTCATGCACCTCTGTTTACAATGCTGTCAGAACAAGTATCTTGGGATCTCACCAACCCCGTAACTTTTAGTTGTACAGCTGCATCGATGGTACTGTTCTTTTCCTGAAATATCGTCCAGTTGAAGGTACTCTGTTGCAAACCTTTTGTATATCACCATGGATTTTACATCGAATTATGTACCTGTTCTATGTTTGGTTTCTTCAGCTTTACAGATACAAATGCTAAAAGAACAAATAAAATATCTGCTAGATACTGAACTCTATTCCTCCAGAGGCCTGTAAGTAAGCCTGTAAAGCCTGTATACTGTCTTAACGCGTGCATTGTTGTCTTAATGCGTGCATTGTCAAGTAAATGAAGTCAAACTTCAGCCTTTTTTATTTCTTTAACATTTTATATCAATTAGTGATTTATATTAATTAAATAGAAAAAATGTGTTTTATCTGTCTCATTTGTCTTGATGCTGTATCTAGTAGATTTATTTAGCCATGCTGTAGCGGCGTCTAAATGTCAGTGAGTCAGTTGGTAAACCACTTCGGTCCAGGATTAAAAAATCTTGAATTATGCAGACATTCACTGTCCCCAGAGGATGAATCCTATTGACTTTAGTAATCCCCTGACTTTTCCTCTTGTGCCCAACTATGTTTACATTTTAAGTTTTAAGTGTAATGTCTCAACTTTCTATCCATCCGTCCATCTATCCATTTTCATCCGCTTATCTGGGGCAGGGTCGTAGGGGCAGTAGACCAAAACACCCAAGACGTCCGTCTCCCTAGCATCGCCTCCTGGGGGACCCCAAGGCATTCCCAGGCCAGATGAGATATGTAATCTCTCCAGTATGTTCTGGGTCTGCCCCGGGGCCTCCTACAAGTGGGATGTGCCCAGAACACCTCCAATGGGAGGTGCCAAGGGGGCAATCCACGACACCAGGGATCAGTACGCCCAGGGCCCCACTCCTGCCTGCCATCCAGCGCACAATTCACTGAACCCTGATTTCTGGGTGGTGTCCCCATACCAGTCTGAATGTTCTGATTCATCAAGGTCTTTGTGAATTTCTCTTAGTCTGGCCCCTCCTCTGGGACCACATTGCCATGGGAGACCCTACCAGAGTCTATTAGCCCCAGACAACACAGCTCTCAGGTTCACAGGGACAGGCAAACCCCTCCACCACATTAAGGTGGCGATTCTCTGAGGACTCTCAACTATTGCCATTAAATTTGATACTTGCATTCTTGCCCCTTAATCAGGTCAGACTTTTAATATTTCCAATTCTTATGTTTCATGGGCTAGCAGCAACCCCCAGGGCTGAGACATAAAGCCACAGCTGAAGTACCAAAAACTGCAGTTCCTCAAATGGCCACTTGAGGCTTTCTCCAGAAGCAAGACAATCCCCATATACCCCCATGTTCAAGTACAGAACTTTACATAAACATGTTTACAGCCTGATGCATAAAGCAGTTTTAGTCTGTGTAGCTAATTTTAACATTCATGACAGCTGTACAGGGGGTGAATATTATATATGTCATCCTTTCTAATTAAGGGAGCAGCCTCTTTGAGTGACAGGCTGTCTGCAAGGTGTCACCAAAGTCTGTGAGTCACATCTACCCCTAGCTCCTTCACAGCTCCACCCTCTCATCCAAATATGGACAAGAGGGAATCACTTCACACAAACCAGAGCTAGAGTCCACAAACCAATGGATGACGTTACTGTGGCTACATTCATTATTTTTATTCAGTTTATATTTGTGATCAAATACCTGCAGAGCTACTGACTTTCCCATCATTCTCAGCTGCAGTTTGTTTTTAAGGTTAGTGCAGCCTCACAAGAATTTTAGAATGGCTGTTGACTCGTCTTGTTTTACTTTGTGTTACTGAGAACATTTTTATTTTCTCTGCTTATTTTAATTTTGATCTTCCTGTTTAGTTAGTTACAGTTGTGACTAGTAGTGAATCTGTTCATTCAGTATCTCCAATATCCAGTAATTCTGGTCCTTTATTTTTTGTGTTTTATCTGTACCATCCATGGTGGTAGTCAAACTGAATCTGTTTCCCATCTAACTGTTCTCTTGTGCTTTATAAGCACAATAGGAAACTACAGTATATTCTATGGGCCAAGTCATTTACCTTTCTAAACTCAAATGGCACTCAGAGCTTAAACCTCCACCAAGGCCTAATGCTCCATCACACAGTCTTATCAAAAGTGAAAAATAATTAGTGTATCTGCCCTGGTATTCAGGTCCTTGCCAAAATGTAATGGTTCTTCCTTGGCTTATGCTACACCTTTCCACCAAGTCTTTTAAAAACCGTGCCATTTTCTGTAATCTTGCTTACAGACAAACAAACCAAACTGAAAACATTACTTCCTTGGTGGAAGTAATGATGTGGACTATTGCAGCCACCAGCTTTGCAGCTAAAACCCAACTTTCATATTCCAGTGACTGTCTCTATTTTTGTAAAATGTTAGTTTACTCTGGATTCATTCACTAATAGACATTTATTTCTACACAATAATCTATTTCCGTGTCACAAAAAGCTCGACATCTACACTAATAATGCAACAAATTAATTTATATTCATTTGCAAAAGGTCGAAAACCCGGGCTTTTTCCTTGCCAGCTGTAAAGTGAACCTGCGTGACCAGCAGATATCTTGGCAGATGTCAAATAGAATCTGCGCCCTTGATGCTTCTCAGACTGATTAATATGCCACAGGAGTTATGGGCCAGATGATAGAAACACTAACAGTGGATGTCTGACAGTGCTGAGACGCCCTGCTTGCATGTATCAACAGCTGTCAGACCTTCTATGCAGTCTGTCTTTATATTCAGTGTCATTTGATCTACCCTGCACCCACGGAGCACAGAAGTTTGACTCCACCAGTTTCAAAATCCCACTGAATATCCCTCAGGTTCTGTACTGGGTTTATATACATGCTGTTTACTTCGGTGTACTTACAGCTGGGAGGGAGAGTGGTAATCTGTTGATGATTGCCTGCCAAAATTGTATTTGCATGGCTAACTTCTTTAACGCTTCAACAATCACAATTGGTACAGTAGGAGAAGAGACTACAGTACTAGTTGTTTGCAGAACCCATAATAGAGTGGAGGTCCCTGGATTTACAACAGTGCATAACTTAACTGTGAATATATAGTAAAAAGTACATTATGTGCTTGTTTTGCTCATGTAAAGTCAGCTCACTCATTCACTCTCCTTAGTGACATTGGCACCTGCTGTTGCTATGGAGCCCAGGCAGCAGGAACACAACTCAGTCACATATGGCCCGCAGTAAATAACTTCTTGCACACAGGAGCGTTGAGTTGTAACCTTTGCACCGCGTTTAATGTACAGCGTAGACTAACTGACAGTGTTTACTCTCCGCCTGTGTAGACTGGATGTTAGCAGTGGTATCTGTCCAGGCTGGTTTCTCCAGTTCTGCTGACCTGAATTCAGCTCACATCCAGGGAGAGGAAATGTAATGGCCACAGGGGTGCAACATAGACCGGATTACCAACCAGGCCAAGCAGACAACTGCCAGTCCCTCAGGGGCCACAAACTTGTGGACTGGTTTTGGTAGTTTAATTAAGTGCCAATTTACCTGGGAAAGTTGCACCTCTCACACACACACAACCAAAACAGGTGGGTCCTGCTTTATTACCTAATCTTGCGGCCCTGTTTAGCAGAGGGGCCCTGAGTGAACATCTAGATTTAAGACCTTCATTATTTTAAGTTTAAATTGCACTCACATGGTGCTTATCCCCACATGAAGTTGTGTTTAGTCAAGTTATGAGAAACTAACTGACCCAGAAAACTCACAGCGGGTACTGCTCCACCATGTAGGAGTACTGGTTGGGTGTACGATAAGGCTGCCAACTATAATCTGCTGTGTGCACTGTACTTGATGTGCATTTAGAGGAGATATGTTACACAATAGCAGCACAACAGCAATTATCTTTGGCTCAGGGCCCACAAGCAGGTTCATAAACCTGCATGTCAGTACAGACCTTTTACTGGCACATTGGTATGTACACATGCAGTTAAAGAAGAGTCAGTGCACTTCCTAAAACAATCACTCATGTTCATATTGTGTCAGTGATGTGTGATGATTTTTTTACTTTGTAATTTTTATAGTGTCCTGATATAAATTCAGGATTACATTAACATATTCAGTGTGATTTGCTTGACCTGGTTTCCTTCCCCAGTAAGGATTCACACACCTCCGTGCATTGAAGAAATCTCTGTGTTCAGCATGCAGGCAGGAGGTGGTGTTGCACTGGACCTGCAGCAGTTAAATGGATGTGCAACACACTTTCTCTCTGGCTCTCATTCACATGTCTTTATCAGAGGTCTGCAGCGCTAATCCTCTTAAATTCCAGTCAACAGAGGCGGAGCAAACCTCTCACTGCGTTTTACAGTTTCCTCCCCGCGATTTACTGTGGCGATTTGTGCGCGGTTGCATAGCCGACGGACTTTACCGCAATGAATAATGTTGTGTTTTTCTGTAGAGTAGCTGTGTACACGGTGCGTTAAGGAGACGGAGCAGATGCGGCTCTTGCCATGATTCGTCCCGGGAAGCAGAGCTTTCAAGCGGCGTTGATCTTTCTGTCTGTCGCCCAGCTGACTGCAGGTACAGTAGCTGACAGATCCTCACTTACACAGTTTGCATTACGTTAATCACATGCATTCATTCAGTAAAGTACATTATTTCAAGGTTTTATGGGAGTTATTAAAGTGATTTTCAGATAAATTGTTGTCTAACTAGGATAAATAATTCAGCTGACTTTAAAAATCGCCCATATTGTGTCCTCAGAAAGCTGTTATGTCTCCAACCACTATGAATTAAGTTTATTTAACTTTGAAGACACCATTTTTATACCTGTAAATGTTCAATCAAAACACACCTATGTAATTAAAAAAAAATACAAAAAATACATGTAATTTATTTTTATTAGGCTCAATTTCTGCTGTTATAAAAGTCTGAATGCAAAAAACAGGTATTTAAATAAAATAAAGAGCTCCTATAAGCAACTTGTTTTTCCAGTCACATGTAACTGAACACCTAACCTTATATAGACTATGTGTTTTGTCCCAAATAGCTTTAAATAGAAATTAAAACACAGAGTGCTTGGGCAAAATAGTTTGGCAGACCTGTGATTTAAGCTAAACATTCAGGCTGTCAGTTTTATACTTCAGATTTATTAGTTTAATACACCAGGATTGTTTCATTTGCACGTCTTTTCTGGAAACTCTTACCTGTTTGTGTATCAAGAATGAAAGTTGTTTTATAATAGAACAACAATTTGTTTGACTAAATTCATTCAAGAGACAAACCAAGAAAAAATATCAATCATTCTCAGGTTTCAGTTTCATAAGTGTGAGGATTTGCAGCCTTTTCTTGTCATATATGATAGTTAAGTGAATATTTTTTGGCGTTTTACCTGGGCAATTTGAAGCAGGATGTGATTTGCATGTTTCATAATTTCCTTATTCTTTATAGTCTGGACGATTAATGATAATAATAATGAAAATAATTATTAGTTGCCACCCAAAGTGATACACTCACATTTACCTCCTCCCACTCACATGCCATACCTGACTCTTACCTACTGCTGTCTGTGTTTGTCCTGGTGTGTGTCCTGATAAATGGGTGTGTGACTGAACACTTGTCTGTCTTATATAGTTAAAGACAGCAAAGGCTGCAGTGTGCGGACCTTTTCCCATTGTTGTTGGCTACTAATTGCCCAGGCTTAGACCAGGACATAAACATTAACTTGAGAAAAGTGGAACATGTGCATGTTTGACAGGAAGGTGTTTTGGAGCTGTTCCAATAGGCCAGCAGGGAGGTGGGTTAATAGTGGAAGAGATAAATGTTTCGCAGTTTCTGTCAGTCATCTGGCATTTCTTGTTTTCTTCACAGTCAATAATAGAAGCCCACGTGTGCATTTTATTTCGTTAAATGTAATTGAACACACAAATTCAGCAAAAGAGCAGAGTGTTTTTCTCTCTAAGATGCCCCAACTTCAGGTAACAGGCTGCATAATGTAGATCCATTAAAAATACAGAGCTCAAATGAAGGTTGCTGCACTCTGTCTCTCTATATAATAGCTTTATTTGCAATATGAAGCTCGAGTGGCACTTTATATAACAATCAATCCATGCTGAGGATCTCTGTGATTAAAGGTTCTTCAAGTACAATCCTCTCAGCGCTATAGTCCTGTATTTCTATTCATGATTGTCTATATAATTATTTGAGCCAAAGAGATGTAGAAATACCATCAGCTGTACAGCAGTGAATAAAGGTAATAGAAACAAAACACTATATTTATATGGACTGATCAGTAAGATGTAAAAATAACATGACAGACCCACAAACAGCACACATATGGAGTCACATTAAGGCACTGTAATGGATGCAAATGAATATGATGCCCAGACCTACATATGTATATACATAACATACGCCTACACACAGCTCACCCACAACCAAACACTACACTACATACATACATACATAAATGCTTTGTTTGTTACGGCTCAGATACTTTGTTAAAATATGCAGTTCAAAATGTTTTAATCCATAATCAATATGAAGTCGCCTGTCACACCAGATGTCTTATTTATGGAAAATATTTCAGTAGATCTGATGTGACTTAAGATCTATGAAGTGATGTAAATGACAGGTAAGATGTGGAGCAGTAAACAGACTAAAACACTGTCTTAATTTTATTTTTCACCATGAAATTAATTTGATATATTGTGTTGAAAAAGGCAGTCATTTTACTTTTTGCTGTACATGGTGTGGAGTTTTGTTCCTGCATTTTTTAAGCAAACGGTATTTGATTTTTGGTGATTGTTATGTTTTAGGAGCACAGCATTGTTTTGAGCAATTTTTTTTCAGTATTTTTTGTTTTACAAATTCAGTCCAGTTTTGGTTTTCATGGCACCTATTTCTCCAAACCAGTCATTTTCTTGCTAATAACAATAAACAATGGGAAAAAATTGTAATATATTACGTCCCTGCAAGATATACAGGATCCAAGACACCATTCAACACATTAAACTCACCAGTGCTCAGTCAGTCAGTCAGTCAGTCAGTCATTTACTTAAAAACAGCTTTAAAAAGGATCAGCCTTGTTATGTCTGATTTACAGAGAGTAGATTCAAACTTAAATAATCATTGTCCTTGAGAAAGTTGTTGCCAAGCAACTCCCAGGTGTTATTTTAGAGACATTTTTGTCATATTCCTGTCAGGAACTGAACTCCTGATCTCTTTTGTTGGTGGGTGATTTTTTCAAGATGCCTGTCTTACTACTGGAGGATCCTTTAAAAAGTACCTTAAAATATGAGGTTGTATATTCACTATTTTTCTAAGTGTCAATAAATTAAAAGACCAAAAGTCATGATGACTTTATCCTGCTGAAATGCACAATGCACTGCTAAGCTGGGTGACATGTTCCTTCATTACAGTAAACACTGTTATTTATCTTAAATCAATCATACAACATCTTGGTGCTGAAAATAGTTGCTGATATAATCTGTGGCTGAAAATAGTCCCCAAGAATGCACTGTTTATTCCTTTATGAGTCACATCAATTTATAAATGAAAGCTATATATATGTGCCCCATTTGTAAACAATTACATATATTTTGTAGGTATGAGTGTACTTAGAGTGCCTTAAGGTAACATATAGTACTTAGTATAAAGTGAAACAAATTGCATTCAGTTCTCCAGGGAAATATGGAAGTCAGATGATATTGAGAGATGGACTAACACATTGCTCATGGTTTTTTTTTTTTTTGTTTGTTTTTTTCATTGGATTTGTCAATTTTAAGAAAAACATAGCACAATGCCAGCCTTTTCTTTTGAAATATTAATCACTAATCTTTGTTGACACCGGCTGGGTATTTCAGGGGCAACCTTCAAATGTTTTTCTTCATTTCAGTTCAATATGAAAATAGCGGTGCACCTCAGGGATCAATCCTTGGTCCCCCTCTGTTCTCTTTTTATAACATTAACCTTGTTTCAAACTTTTTTTAATAACTGCCACATGGATGACACATAGCTGTATCTTATGTCCTTAACAATATGTCCTTCTTACTGAGTTGTCTAGCAACTCTGAAGAACTAGGAATCCTAATTCTAACCCCAGTAACAAAAGAAAAAGCCACTTGTGTTCATAGCATGAACCTTGACCATCATCATCTTGACCAGATTCTTTCAGTTGTGAAATATGTATTTAGTTTAATGTTTTTTCTTATCAAGGTCTGGAAAATATTTAATAATGTGGGGTTTTTTTCACTTGGGAAGAAAATCCTCACACAGTTCATAGATAACTCTGATTATGCCTTTTCAACACTGATTGTCTGTAGTGTTCTGAAATAGTACGAGGTTTAGCACAAATATTTCCCAAGTTCAGGGTTAAAATCAGAGTGTTTGTTGTTTTGGAGTTGCCTCCTTAAAAACCTAAAAGGAGCTATAAGACATTCAGAGCATCTGAATCTGTGTGGAGTATTGTCTGCACACAACTGTCAGCAGAGAAGTGGCTGAGCCAGCGGCTAGCAGTTAATGGTGCTCACAGCACAAACAATTAACAGTGTGAACATAGGTAACAACAGCAATAGTGTTGACAGAGCTGACGGTTTTAACCTGGGGGGAATAGGAGGTTTGGTATTACACTTTCATGGTGACCATGCCCTGTTATAATGGGTCTGAACGGCATTACCCAACCCAATCAGTAGGATAAATGTGCGTATTTAACATTTCTGCAAACCACCAAAACATTACATTTGTTTATTATTTTGTATTGGATACGTTGAAACTTGACGTATCTCAACAACACTGCGGTGAAGGTATGATTAGGTTTAAGCACAAAAACCTCTTGGTTATGGTTGGTTTAAAACCCCAATGTTTGGTTGCTCAAACACCACTGATAAACACAGCAATGTGTCAGTATAAAACACTTGGCTTAGCTTGGTGCTACAAATAGTTCCACAGGGTGCTGCTAAAAGCACCCAGATTCAGTGCCACAGCACTGGCGAAAACGCAACAAACAGTGGCTAAAACACATTTGGTGTTGTTGTTTGTTGGTTTCGAACAGTGGTCCGCAGCTTGGGAGGTGTCTTGCCTAGGTGACACGCCATCCACCATCCCCTCCCAATGTAAACAGCTTATATATTACATCATCATAGGAATGTTTATATGGTACGTACGAAATGTGCAAATGTACCATCTTTGTGGCTTGCAGAAATGTACATTGCGAACATTTTCTTCCAGCAAGTGGTGTCTAGTAGTAAGGCTGGTATTAGCTAGCCAGTGGAATGCACAATTTTCTTCCCAAGCGCTTGTCGGGTCAGACAAAACACTTTTGGGAAAAAAATAACACCAGTGGAATTCATACACAGGAACTCACATGCACTATTATGCACATGCGTCCAGGGCTGAAAAATTGGCTACAAAAACATTTGGTTTCAATGGCTAATTTTCCTGTTTATGAAAACTGTACGGGGGTGAATTTTTACATAACTTACCCATTTAAATATGTCCAAATATGGTCACCTCAGGTCACTTCTGGCCTTAAACATCCAAGATGGTGACAGCCAAAATGGCAAACTCGTGGCTTAAAAATGGGAGTCCACAAACCAGTAGATAATGGTGGCTATTATTTCATTATTAATTTACTACCATAATTATTGCTACTCACAATGACTTGTTGAGTATTGGTCAGATGGGCTTCACACTACATACAAAACACAGCACCAATTTAAAATACAATCATGTCAGAGTAATGCATGGAGGTTTACAGTGGGCCAGAAAGAGTCCCTCTCAAAACATGTAAGGGATGACCTGTATCTAGATTTTCTAGTTTCATGTCAGCCAGAGAGTTCTTTACCAGTTATATTACCTGAAGCAATCCTCACATTTGTTCATACATAACAAATACAGGTGATGTGAAACTGACAGGAATTCCTTGGTATAAAGAAGCAGCATACTCCTCCTCCTGACAGTAATATCTTTAGGGAATCATTTTGTTGCTACATGGCTGAGCTGGCACGCAGACCACTAACTGCACACAGGACATAAAATTCACCGTCCACCCTTTTCATAAAAATGTACATTTGCTTGTCCTGTTAATTGGTACACCTGTACAAAGTAATGCAATCTGGCTATCTTTAACCAGCAGGTTCTCCACAAGGCCAAATCTAAATTAGACTGCACAAACCACCCTCTTCAATTGGAGTTTGAAACTCTTCCCTCAGGCTGCTTTTACAAGCTGATACATTTTAAAGTTTTGTTGAAACTGGCAGAGAAGGTATGATTTTACTTTATCTTTGTTTTGCGGTTTGTAGTGGGTGTTGTTGTTGTGCTGGACTGCATTATATTAAAAGGTATCTCTAATATTTTGCCCACACCATTTTCATGGATGAGGGAAAAAATGTCAACAAATTTGAAACTATAAACATCATAAAAGTGAAATTCATATCAGAGCTGTTGTATTGGATTGCATTAGATTGTACAGGTGGCCCGTGAGTGTATATAAACCGACAAATAACAATCAAACTTAAGGTTTTTGTTTCCAGAACAAACTAAACACACAAAGAGGTTACTTAAAGGGTGTAGAATTTGGTGTTTTATGTATTGGCAGACATGGTAAATAATATTCATACTATGCTTTTATTAGTTTATAATAACCTAAAAATAAAAATCACTGTGTATTCGGAACTTTGTAACCAACTTATATCTACATACATGGGTCCTCTCCTATGGAGCCCGCCATTTTGTTTCTACAGTAGCCCAGAATGGACAAAACAATGACTGGCTCTAGATAGGGCCATTCATGTTTTCGTGTCAGCCACTGTACTGTTTCTACACCTTTGGCAAAAGATATTAATTTCAGTTGTGCAACCTTATCACTAGATCCCACTAAATCCTACACACTGGACCTTTAATAGTCTATGGTCAAAATTTTAAAAATACCTCAAAATGTTAAAAGAATTACTGTCAGTGAAGTTTATGATAAATATGTTTACAATTTTATAATGTTATTTATACCTGGACACTGTGGAGACCTTTACTTACCTTATTTTGCATAGTGCAGTTATAAATTTGAGTTCCTCCATATATTACAAATTGTTTAATTGAATGACGTATGATATTCTTACGGTTTATTTTCAGGTTTTTCCAGTGAGCAGGCAGTGTAAGCTTGCTTATCAATCACCCACAGTCTTATCAAACAAAGCATGACAGCAGCTCCAAGAGGAACACAAGATTATCTGGGTGTTAAACTAAGAGGCATTACGTTGGTTCTTCCACCTCCAGACCTTTAAGAGCATGGGCCTGCTTACATAACAGGAGCATCCTGCTTCTAAAGAGTTAAAGACCACTTGCCATGGCTGTCTGGAAATTAAACTGTTTGTCTAGTGTCCTTTTCCCCCCTCAGTGATTTCACAAATCAATCCTTTAAGAGGTGTCTAGAAGTGTCTGTGGAGAAAAGAGTTATCCAATCATCTTGAATGATGTAATATGTTTCAGGTCTGAGGTGCGTGTGCCAGCTTTGCGCCAACCACACCTGTGAGACGACCGCAGACGGCGCCTGCTGGAACTCTGTGATGCTGATTGACGGGAAGGAGGAGACGGTCAAGTCCTGCCTGTCGCCCTCTGAGATGAAGGGCCAGGTCTTCTGCTACAGCTCCCGAAATGTCTCCAAGAGGAACTGCTGCTTCACTGACTTCTGTAACAATGAGACTCTGCATCTTCACCCAGGTACAACCAAAGTGATGCGTTCAGACTGATGTCTCCATTTCTGGTTGTCTTTTAGCTCATTTTTTAATGAAAGATAAATATTTTACCCGCTTTAGGAAAGAAAAAAGAGACAAAAATAATAGAGGAGAGATGGACTCATCCCCTCAGACAGATGCACAGACAATGTGACATTGCTCAGTAGTTACAGTATTCATTCGACAGCAACAACACTCAAATCAGTGGGATTTCCCACTCATTCTGGCCCCGGCTAGACGAGGTGGATGCTGATCCTACTAGATCCTGTGACATAACAAATCTGGCAGAGGCAAAAGGACGGCGGTTAGCGATCCTACCCCTCCCTCCACTGATTTATAAATAAATACTCTGTCAGGCATCTAGTCCTACAGCAAGTTAAAAGCCTCTCATGGGTGTGCTGGATGGAAGTTGGCCTTAAAGCAGAGGGGATTACTTACACCTGTGGATAGACAACTTAGTGGAAAACACTGGGAGGTCAAAAATACAGTAAGCATCAGGGTTCATCGTGGTTTTACTTTGTTACGCTGCCGCAGTACATACACTAATGTTTAATGTATTGTTTTTTACTGTTTATTTGTAAAATTCAGAATCAATCCCCAGCATATTAAACACTGTATAGGCCCGTGTAACTTGGATCATTCATAAAGAATATAAATCAGATTTGTTAAAGCTGCATTAATCAGTTTTATTTGGCCAGTTTGGGGCAGAACCTCATACTGAGCTAAAAACACACAGACAGAAGTCCAATAGTCACTCACCTTGCAGCTACAGTATGTTGTTGGTTTCTCCTGAGAAAAATATCTCTCTTTGAGTGGCTAAATGCTCCAGTACATCCATCAGTTAGTCTCTGACTTTGTTTGTGTGCTGTTTTGGTGAACAGGAGGTCATGTGCATTTTTTTTATTGCTGAAAACCGCAGCTTGCAGCCGTTAGATAAGGAATTTCGGGAACGGTTAAACCAAAATCATCAGTAAAGTTGCCAGCCGTAAAACCAAAACAACAAGCTGAAAAATGTGAATAGGCACCCATGAGCTTAGGAGAACTGCAGAGTGATAATTATCTGTGCACCACAAGCAATAACCTTTACACAATATACATAATCATTTGACTCATGAAAGTATTGATCAGTGCAGCTTTAAAGGTGTTTTATGTTGTGCTTTCAAGCGGAAGTGAGTGTAAAAGCAAAGCCCAGATTATAATAATAATATCTAATAATCTTTATTTATAAAGCGCTTTTCAAAACAGTTACAAAGTGCTTTACATGTCAATAATTAAAACAGACAAAACAACTTTTTTTAAAAAACTGATAAAAACGCTTTAGTGTATAAAAACTGAGGAAATTAAAACAGTTTAAATGAACTTAAACTTAAGTAAAATTCAGGAAAGGCTCTCCGATAAAAGTAGGTTTTAAGAAGGGACTTATAAGAGATCACTGACTAGGCCGACCTCAGGCTTCTCCAGAGCCTTGGGGCCCTCTCTTCCCTTTAGTTTTCAGCCGGGCCTCTGGAACAGACAAAAGATCTCTGCCCAAGGACCTCAGAGTACGTCCTGGCATGTGTGGCACTAAGAGGTCGGAGACATAGCTGGGAGAGAGTCCATGAAGAGCCTTAAAAGTAATCAGTAAAATCTTAAAATCTATTCTAAAACATACTGGGAGCCAGCGTAAAGAGGCTAAAATTAGATGATGAGGTGATGTGTCTTTTGGTTCTGGTTAAAAGCCTGGCAGCTGAATTCAGTACATTCTAAAGTCCATTGATTGATTTTTGATTCACTCCTGTTCGGTGTTTTCGGTGCTGTGTCTCTCTGATGACTGCTGCTTATAGTCTGGCACTTTGTTGCTACCTTTTTATAAAGCCCTGAGCTCACCTGAGCGCTGCCAGGATACACACCTATAAATGTCCCAAACTCAGAAAATAAGAAAAAAAAACAGATGTAGAAGGAATGATGATTGCATGTTAAGCTTTAAAACATCATATTACATTAATATTTACTTAAGTGTGTGCATTTGATTGCTCATGAATACACCTTCCTGGCCAATTATTTTCATTGTCGATTAATATACTATTTATTTTCCCTCAGTTAATTTATTAAGCTTCATATGAATTATCAGAAAAGAGTGAAAATGTCTCTTTATCCCACAGGCTGAGGTTAGGTCTTTAGATGCCTTGTTTTGTTCAACCAACAGTCCAAAACCCAAAGATATTTAGTTTATAATCATACATCATATGGGATGAATATTAATTTTGGATGATGAACTGATTATCAAAACTGTTGCCGATTAATTATCTGTTGATCAACTAGTCGATGAATCACTGTTTCAGCTCTACTCTGCAGACAGATTTTTTGGGTGGTTTTGCCTTCAGTGACAGTATAGCTGTCGACAGACAGGAAAGTTGGGTGAGAGATGGGAATGAAGCTCTGCAGCTCAGAGTTGAAACTGCAAACAATCTACTAGGTTAGCTAGATCTCACCCCCAGACAACTATAAAACTATAAATACAAAAATATAAAACAAATGTATTGAGGTGGGGCACCCAAACTCATTATACTAAAGGGAAACACCATTGTATTTTGTGGCTATATTCAAGAGCAGAACGGACTAAATTTCCCGGTCTTGCATTTTTAAACTTTTGACAATATTTACTCTTGGTCACAGTGTGACATAAACATTAGACTGTTCTTAATTTTTTAACATAACAATGAAAGAAAAACCTCAGAAAACTACATGTTAGATGGCACTGTCGGGCAGCAGTCCAACTCAACTGTAGAGGTGATCCAGGGCGATTTAAAGTGTAAAGTGCTGCGGACTGTTGATGAGCTGGGTCAGGGCAGCACCCCGAGGCTGTGATGGTGTCGACTGTGAATGAGGACACCAGAATCAATCTGCTCCACTGCTCTGCTAAATATCAGCATGTGAGCTCATCCAGAGTGGTGTTTATTGTCTTTACACAAAGACTTTATGTTTGTTAGTGCTCCTGCTGTGACTCCTGTACAGGAGAGGAAGTAGTAGATGGGAAGAATGCATTTACAGTTATAAAGTTAAGTTATAGGCAGGGGTTAGTGGTTTTGTGTAGCTGTAATTTCAGTTTAGTCTATTGTCCTTCAACACCTTATTCCTCAATTCCAAATTTCCAAACACTTGCTTAGATCAGGGGTCCTAAAACATATTGCCCACGGTCCAGAACTAGCCCACTAGAGTCCAATTTGGCCCACTGGATGACTTTGCACAATTAATGTGAAGGTTAAAGCCCAGCTCAGACCAAAGATTCGCGACAAGATGGAACTGTTTCAGAACGTTACAGAGAAAAGTTGCAGCGGCGTGTAGTGGCCGGTCTAAGCTTGACTCAAGCCAGCTGATGATGTCACCTGCATCTCAGTTGGTGAAATCGCCGACAGCTGGTTTTAGAACGTAAAGCATGTAACCTGTTTCTACAGCCAGTCATCCCCGCCCTTTGTTTCTGGTTGATCACTGCTGCTGCTCACTGTATGTGCTTATGCTCCTCCACACATTCTCATTGACTGATTAATTGGCACTGGTTATTCATTTTATTGTGGTGTAGTTATTATAAATCGAGTCCATCCGATGCTGGTTTTGTTTATGTTTTTCGCCATTCCATCACTACAACAAATCCAACTGTAGCCAGTGTCTCACTATCACTATCCTCATTCATATTTTAAGAAGCTACAAATTATATTCAGCCACAAAATAAGCCTGGAAAACTGGAACTCAGAACAGAAGTACAGGGAGTTGAGCATTTGAGATGATACACTGTCTCATGTTGTTACACTGGGGTGAACTGGCAGGTTTTTAGAACGTTGCAGACCAGCACTTTGCAAGTAGTTGCCTGCTTTAACTCAAGAAACAGGTGCCGGTTTTCAGTGAAAGTTAAACAGTAAATGGCCTTCCTGGGGTGCCCACTAGCTCACCTGTGAGAGCAGGCATCCCATGTGTAAAGGCTGTGTCCTTGCCACAATGGCCATGGGTTCACTTCCAACCCATGGCATTTTGCTGCATGTCATTCCCTCTCTCTCCTCTTCCCCTTTTCTTCAAAATGCTTCTTCAGAGGCTTTTCTCCTGATAAGAACAGTTCTTAAAAAAAACAATGAATACTTATTGTGGTCATATTTAAAGATATTGATCACTGAAATGGTTTGTAAGGCAGAGGTAACTTAACTTGTCTCCTCAGTGGCTTCCCCTTTAGTTTGGTGATGCCAGCATTAATACACAGGAGTGGAAATCAGTGACCAGACTGACTGAATGTGAAAAAATGAGACATTACTGAAACTACACTTGTTTTTCTGAGGGCAACTCAGGCTGTTCATCATCACTTTCCTAAATGAATTAACTTTTTCATGATGTAGATCTACGCAGTAAAAGAAAGGGTGTTGTTATTTATAGGTCCTTATGCAATGGTTTTACTGGTCTGGTCCACTTGACATCAAATTGGGCTGCATGTGGCCCATGACCTACAATAAGTTTGACACCCCTGCCTTAGATCTTGTGTCAGACAGTTTAAAAAGAGAAGTGACTACTGAGATTACCTCCTTGACCCACACAGTCACCTAAGATCCAACAAACAGTTACAGTTTGTAGAGGGTCTTTTGCCACTGGGCCAGAGGAGAGTAAAGTCTTGTTTTGCACCATGTCTGTGGAGCTCCAGTTGGACACGTTGCAGGATATGTATTTAGGTAAAAGGCTAAAGATGTCTTAGGAAACTGTGGTTTAGTTCATGACGTGTTGCTTTGCACATTGGGCCATTTGCAGATGTTGCATGTTTGAGGGACGCCTGGTGAGGACATTTCATGCTTTGGGGATTTGGGAAGATGAAAAGGCTGAAGAAACATTGATTAGGTTTGGGTTTCTCAAGTCTGTATTGTTTATGTGAAAGAGTTATTAGTTCCTGTTAAATGAGGTCACAGCAGTCTAAGTCGGCCAAATCATGTTGGTACCGTCCAAAGTTAATTTTAGTACAAAACTCCCCAGACCTATAATTTAATACTAAAGAGTTAAATTATAGATCTGGGGAAATTGAAAGGTTTTTGTGTGCTACAATGCTGTTACAGTGTTCTCTGTGCATTATGTTGTCAGCATGTGTTTAAATCTCATATTATCACAGCATCCACCAGCTCTGCTATTTTTGTTTGTGCCCAGGTCTCCTCTGTCCACCCACAGACACAATGAAGGTCAGAGATAGAAAAGCCAGGTTACATTGGTTTTTTTTCCCAAACCCACAGTTTATTCCCATGGTGCACCTGTTGTTGACCAGCCACTTATTTTAAATGAAAAAGCTTGTCATTAGAATTTATAAAAAGCATTTTAAGTTTTACTTTTTGGAGTTTTAATGGCTGTAAAAGCTTCTGCCTCTTTCTCCTTATTGCTTTTGATTAATGACATTTATGGGCACTGATGAAATTTTCTGGTGCTCTGGAAAAATGTATTTTTTGGCAGACAGAACTTTGCATCTGCCAAATACAGAATTTTTATCTCTGTAAATTTTAAGACTGTCAACAGGGGTGATTGTTTAATTTTGCTGAGCTTGAGTTAAGGTCAGAGAAGTGTTTCTCTGAAATGTAGAACATAAGCATATCACAGCAGTAGTTAAACATCACTGACAGGCTGGGCCCCTGAAAATGTCCAGTGAATGGGCCCTCCCCAGATCTACTTTATGACGATAGACGGTGAAGCAGATATCGTTTTAGTGGACGAGAGCAGAACAGTAAAATGAGGCCAGCAGAGAATACTGGCAACGGTAACAGTGGTTGGTGTTGCCATTCAGAGTTAAAATATTTTAACTTCTTGCTGTCCTCTGCAATGGAATTTACAACTGGGCATTACATAGCTCTCTCACACAAGGTGAAAACACAGATGGGCGCATTTGATATGCATTAAACCCTCCTGCCATTCCATTTGACTGTGTTTCTTGTGCCGTTCAGAAGGTATTGTCCGTCTGCTGTCTACTGTCTGCCTAAATCCATGTGAGCGCAGCAATTGTTTTTCCAACAGTTGCATACAAAAAAAAGGAATAAACTCATACCATTTATTTCTTTATATCTATTTTTTTGATCCTGAAACAGTCAACATTTTACTAAAGCAACAATTATTACAATGTTTCTTTTACTTGTTTTATTAAGTAAAAGCGCATACTTAAATTAAAAATAAAATTTGATTGTCATTGCTTATATTTAGGATGAACATGATAATTGCTGGCTGTCATGGGCCCCTCCAAAGTTGCTGGGCCCGTAATGGGCAGCCCTGGCCCCTAGTTCACTTATAATATCTCATGCACTGTAATGTACACAACACACAATAATCGATTATGACCACTAGAGGGTGCAACAATAATGGTGAGCTCAATGATTTATAACATAGTGCACATTCTCTCTCACTCTATAGAGTCTTTGTCTCAAGAGTTCAATTTGAGGGAACAAACATGTGTTAACACTGAGTGTGTGTTTGTGTTATCACAGAGAGGCCTTTGGAAGAATCCGGCTGGAGCAGGCTGCAGCTCGCCGTGGTGATCCTGGTGCCCTCCTGCCTGTTGTGTGTGGGGATCCTGCTGGGTGTGTTTATTGTGCAGGGCCACCGCTGTGCCTACAGCAGAGCCCACAAGCAGGACCCAGAGGAGCCTCTGGACGACCAGATGCTGATGTCACCTGACAAATGTCTCAAAGACCTCATCTATGACATGAGCACCTCAGGCTCTGGATCAGGTAAGAGAGACGCCGTCAGCCGATTTAACCGATATGATCAACAAGTAAAATGGAATAGCTACACATGAATATCAGCTTGTCATCTTGCTGGCATCTTGCAGGTCTGCCACTGCTGGTCCAGCGGACTATAGCTCGAACTATCGTTCTGCAGGAGACCATTGGGAAAGGCCGATTTGGGGAGGTGTGGCGGGGCAAGTGGCGAGGAGAGGATGTGGCAGTAAAGATCTTCTCCTCCAGGGATGAGAGGTCGTGGTTTCGTGAAGCAGAGATTTATCAGACAATCATGCTCAGACACGAGAACATCTTGGGCTTCATTGCGGCTGACAACAAAGGTATCACATTCAGAAACACTATCCAGAGTGAATCAAGTTCACATCACAGTTATGACATAAATGTGCCAACATGTGACAGGAATATTTGCTGTGTGCTGCAGATAATGGCTCATGGACTCAGCTCTGGTTGGTGTCAGAGTACCATGAACACGGCTCCCTGTACGACTACCTGAACAGGTACACAGTCTCTTTGGAAGGCATGATCGTCCTGGCTCTGTCCATAGCCAGTGGGCTGGCACATCTGCACATGGAAATCATTGGGACACAGGGTAAGGCTGCATTAAGTGAATGAAGAGCCTGAATTCTTTGGCATTAACCTCATACTGTGGGATTCAAAAAATTAAACGTGGACCCCTTTAACTTGAATTCTTTAAGACATTTCTGAACTTTTTTCTTTGGTTATTGTGTAGGCATGTGAGAATAATAAGTTTTCTTTACAAGTTAAATGTAACATAGGGTGAGTAACTGATACACCAATGATCATTTGGGGAGTTAAGTATTCCTTTAATCCTGAAAAATTTTCCTTATTTTAACACATCACTGTAAAGATGAAAAGTATTTGTTTTAAATATGAAGTTTAAAACCTTATTTGTGGCCTTCTTGGTTTTAGGGAAACCTGCCATCGCTCACAGAGACCTAAAATCTAAAAATGTCCTGGTGAAGAAGAATGGCACGGCAGTCATCGCAGATTTAGGTTTGGCCGTGAAACACGACTCCAGTACCAACGCCATCGACATACCGTCCAACCACAGAGTGGGGACCAAAAGGTTGGACTGACCTTATGACACACAATTAACTCCCACAAAACAGTCATAAATGAAACTGAAATGCCTTTAAACCTTGTCAAATTCAATTAATGTACTAGATTTTTCATGGAGTTTTTACTGTCAGCCTCTGAATTTAAAGGTTTTTGGTGAATACTAGTCATAGCCTCCCAACACAGAGTGAGCCAGCCCACTGTTTTATGCAAGAAAAGCAGAATCCAAAATCAAAAACTCAGTAGGTTTCCACTGTGTCATGCACATTCAGTCCCACTGCTGTCTGTTAACAGTTAGCTGGGTGGGTGTATACGCAGTGCAGTAATGATATAATGAGTGTTCTTGGAGGTCTGTCGGGAAAAATGCTAGACAAAAGTCACGAAACCTCAAGTTAGTTTGTATTAGACAGCAAACAGGACTGATGCAGGCAACATGTCATATATGAACATGTGTGTTTATCTATAGACCAAACTTAAACCCTGTATGTGTAGGATTAAATTCCTAGACTTTGGCGACTCCCAGTGGTACTATGAAAAGCTCACAAGATTCAAATTGTAAAGTACCCTGGAGCTAAACAGCATAAATCACCAGTGAGTGCTGTCAGTTTTGTTTTTATAGATGATGTATTTGTTTGTCAGGTTCCTGGAAGCATAATGTTTGAACCTCTTTTCACTGACAGTGACGAACTGAACTTGCTTTTCCTGTATTTTTTATTTTCAATTCAGACAACACGGGACAACAAACCCCCCACACAAATTGCTTACGGAAAGAACTACTAGGCTTTTTTTTTATTTCATTAGGTCTTAATCATTTTGTCCTCTGCAGGTACATGGCCCCAGAAATCCTGGACGAGACGATCAATATGAACAACTTTGAGTCATTCAAGAGGGCGGATATCTACTCGCTGGGCCTGGTGTTCTGGGAACTGGCCCGAAGATGCTCTGTCAGGGGTACTTTAAACGACACACACACTTATACAGTCAGTGAACACACTATGGCACTAATAGCACATGCATGACACCTCTAATGAGACTGTAATTGTGCCAATAACAGTCAGTGGATATGTGTCATGTCAATTTGTTCGTGGCACGGAATTAAGTCACTGTACGTCATCAGACTGTGTTATTTACGTGGGTGAGGAAAAGTATGATAAATAAAATCTTCACCTTTATCACAGGACTACATGAAGATTTCCAGCTGCCTTATTACGACCTGGTGCCTTCTGATCCGACCATAGAGGACATGAGGAAGGTGGTGTGTGAGCAGAAGCTCAGACCCAACGTTCCCAATCAGTGGCAGAGCTGTGAGGTGAGACGAGATAATGTATCTGATGTATCATCATGTAAGATAGTTATGACTGACACCATGATACTAGTGATACTAACTCTGATACACTCATCACAAGTGTGTGTATGGAGCTGTAAAAGTCAGATGCAAAACAAAAATAGACCTTACATGCCATTTGCTTAGAGGAGAAATATGGTTTATTACACCACAAGTACTTTTGGCAGCAGAAGTGTTCAGTGAATGTATTAACAAACTAAACCGGATACACATGAATCAGCATTTTCACTGACTGAATAAGTCCCTTTAAAGGAATACTTCACTTATAAAATGAACATTTGTATATCAGTTACTCACCCTGTGTTAAGCTGTGGACAAAGATTCCAAAAATGAAAAAAAATCTTTATAAAACTGGAGTTGAAGTTTAACAATAGCAGAACAATATCAGAACATCTGCTTACAAACTTATACAAACCACGCATTTGAATGTGCATTTGAATTCTGCTCGGTGTAATGCATGAGCTGAACTCAAACCACAGGTGCATTACTCATATACAGAAGTCTTTTAAATAGTAAGGTTGTAGCAAAAATGCATATGTTTGGGAAGTACTGAGCATATGACTGTATAAATGAGACTTGGATTATACTGCAGGAGCTGTGAGACTTTGTAAACTGATGTTTTGATATACTTTTGCTGTTGTTAAACGCAGCCCTCTATGACCCAGCCAACATTTGTATGTGGGGTAGTAAATGAGCTGAAAAATGGGCCCTATATGGGATTGTCCATGGGTCCCATAATGGCCTCATGCCAAATGCACACGTGTGGATGTACCCAAGTTGGCCCAGGATAATATGCCCATTTTGGTACCCAGGTAGCCTTAGCATAAGCCATGTGGGGCCCACTTGGGTAAACTCCATGTGAGCAATTGGGATAGGCCCATTATGGGACCCATGGACAATCTCATATAGGGCCCTTTTTTCAGCTCAGTTACAACCCACATGGGCTGCACATACAAATGTTGACTGGTGACTTAAGTTCATCAAGAATTTTCTCCATTTTTAGATTCTTTTGTCCCTGTGGAGGAATGCAAGAACAACAAAGTTTTCTTTACAAATTCAAGAGAATGCTGGGAAATTAATTGATAAACAAATGGACATTTTGTGGCTGAGGTATTCCTTTAAGAATTGGAACTCCTCTCACCAGTCAGTAATGTTGTATCATCAGCTCAGTTGTCCAGCATGTTATTTCTTGGAAAAAAAAAAAAAAAGACTTAATGGAAGACTGCAAAAGCTTAACACACAATAAATTTGTTGCAGATCGGTGGTCCCTGAGCTTTTAAGATTGTTAACAGTGTCAGCCAAGTTTGTGCTGAACTTACAGGAAACAGACTGAACGTACTACTGAACTGAAACACCTGTGAAGTGTGTTGAGATTTGTTAGTTTAGAAGGAAATGAACTACAGGTGCCCGGTGGCTTAGTGGGTAAAGCAGGTGTCCCATGTACGAAGGCAATGTCCTGTGACCCACATTGACCCCAGATTTTGTCTTTTCTGATAACTACCAATGGGGGATTCAAAGCACATATACCTGAAGCTCATGATGTTTATGTTAGAGTTGGGTTAGGTAATAAAGTGACATTTCATATAAACAAACCCGTCTCCTTGTTGATACCCCAGGCTCTGCGTGTGATGGGCAAACTGATGAGAGAGTGCTGGTACGCCAACCCTGCCGCTCGACTCACTGCTCTGCGGGTCAAGAAAACCGTGTCTCAGCTGTCCATCATCAAAGACGTCAAAGATTAGTTTGATTTGTTGCACTGCAGATCAGCGCTGGTGCTGGCACTGGTGCAACACGATGGACTGAGAGATGCTGGGAGCTAACTGGGAGAAACTGTTCTCTCTAACGGCCTGAGGCTGCCCTCTGCAGGATGCAGCCACGCTGTTCACCCTCAGAGAGCAACTTCAGGTTGTTGTTGGTGCCAAAGTATTGTAGGGGGTGTCTGTGGCTGCTTTGCACATAGGCACCTAATAAAAAAAAAGAACCAAACAGCTGGTAGGAAGAGCCATATGAAATAAGACAATGTATAATGTATATACAGATTATTTTGCTACCTCAGACATTTAAGTGCCCAAAGCTTGAAGTTGCACATTGTGATGTTTTTGTGCCATATCTTGTAGCAAACACAGTATTGCTGGGTAGTTAGTGTGCTTACTGACAATCACAAAAGGATACCGAAAAAAATGGTTCTGGCTGGTTTTACATGGCACACTTACAGACTGTCCCTGATAATCTGAATTTATAAGCGTTTAAAGTGCTTTTGAATAGTGATTACAGAACTATTGTAGATAAATGGTTTGTTGAAAGCTCAGTGGAAAGGTTACTGTACCACTGACAGGTACACACTGTACATCCTTTAGCTGAATATATCCAAGTGGGTTGTCACTGTGATTTAGTGCTGACTAATGACAGCTGGTCCACTGGTTCTGTTGGTCCAAATACTTTGACACCTATTGAATGGATCAGAATGACATTTGGTACAAACATTCCTGCTCCTCAGAGGATGAACCCTCATAACTCTAAAGATCCTCTGACTTCAAAGTGACAATTCACCACAAAATCAAAAACACGTATTTCCCCTCTTACCTGTAGTGCTGTTTATCAGTCTAGAATGTTTTGGTATGAGTTGCAGAGTGTTGGAGGTATCAGCCGTAGACATGTCTGCCTGCTTTCGAATAAAATGGAACTAGATGGCAGTTGGCTTGTGGTGCTCAAAGTGACAAAAAATTTTTTTTAAAAAAAAACAAACTCAACAGCAATGTCTCTTTCCAGAAATCATGACCCAGTTACTCAAGATAATCTACAGACCTTGTTGTGAGCAAATTAGGAACTAGTTTCTTTCTTCCAAGGGAAACGTGCATCTATTTGTGCTTGTGTGACAGTGTGAGATGTAACCATTAATGGCATCCTCCTCTGATGTGCTTTGACATAGCTCAGTGGTGCTAGGTGAGCTAGCAGTGGATGCACTCTTCCTTCTGCATGGTGATACTGTCGATGTTTGAAGTTTGTTAGAAAGACAATAGTTCCTACATGAAACTGCTCACAACAAGGTCTGTGGATATCATGAGTAACCAGGGGTCCCTTATAAAACTAGCGTAAGATCCATACTAAAAATGTAAGTACAAACAAAAGCCAAAATGGAGTGCACCAAAAAGATTTGACAGTTTCCACAATCAGGCTTCCATCTGACCATCGCAAATTTCCCGTCTCCAAAATGTTCATAAGCATGGGTCAAATTTTCTCCCATTAAGTTTCTTTTTTGTATATCACAACTTTTGCATGGGAAGTTGCATGCGTCTCTTTCAGGCCTCAGTTCGTGCATATGCAGTGTTTACAAATGAGACCCCTGGTCATGGTTTACCGCAAAGAGACATTGCTGTTGAGTTTTTCGAATGCGTTGTTTTGTCGCTTTGAGCACCACAAACCGAGTGCCGTCTAGTTCCATTATACTTGAGAGAAGGCATCTCTACAGCTGATATCTCCAACACTCGGCAACTCACACCAAAACAATCTAAACTGATAAACAGCACTACGGTAAGAGCAAAAATATGTATTCTTGATTTTAGGGTGAACTGGCCCTTTAAGTTTAACTGAGGCTGAGCTGACACTGATAAGAGTTTAGCCTAACAAACCAAGTCTTTTCCCCCCTTTTCAATTAAGTGAAAAACTCTACCTTTTCTTTAACACCACCCTCAGGCCAAACCCTAAACATTGAGACCAACTAGTTATAAGAATTACATTTAAATTATAAGGTTGTCTCCTCATATTTTAACAGCCTCATGGGATCAGTAGAGTAGCTACAGACTTTTCTTTGTGTCATCCTTTACATAAAGAGAAGTACAGCTATAAGCTCCTGCTATAAATTTTGCACATGTAAAGCTTTCAGTTGCTGAAAAGAGCTGCTCTCTGACAGGTGAATGGAAGTTTGTTGAAAAACAAAAGCTCATTCATGAATGTGAAAAGTTACATTTTATATTTCTGGAATATATTTATTCACACTGGAAGCATGTTATTCAAATTATAATATTTTGGCTGCCCTAATGCACAAGTCCAAACTTCAGTATTGTAAACATTGGCTCATCAGTATTTTTTTTAATGGGGGAGTCTAACAGCTACTTACAGTATATGTTAGAAAACACTCCATTTGACACGCTCAATGCTGTTTTATAGGGGTTTTTCCCAATGTGCCAGATGATTTGACAAAGCAAAACTCAGATCAGATCTTCGTGAAGATCTTGATAAACCCAATTAAAAAAAATAAAACAAGACAAATTGTCATTGGTAGTACTTACAGAGCACAGTCAGGGTGATGAGTGCACATATGATCACCAATGCCACTGTGTGATGAGGCCTGTAAAGCCTTGTCATAACAGGATTAGGGAAAGTGCACACAAGTACACCATGTGCAAAGGTGTGCCTGTGTGTGCACATGTGTGTGTGTGTTTCATATCATGTGAAGTGATCCTGTATTTAAAGCTGTGAATCTGGTTAATCATTGTAGTGCTGTGGAGAAACTCTATCTGTGTTTCCCCTCCATCATAGCTTTCAGTTCCAGGTACATACGTCCATGTAGCTGCTCAGTGTTGACTCATATACGATGTTCTCCTGTTATGATGGTGTCATGATTACTGGTCGATATGTAGCATCAGCTGTGTTGCCTCTTATAAATAAGCTATGTACAGTAGCCTGTCGCTTGTCTCTTGACAAATATCAGTTCATGTACACGTCTTCATTATCATCTTTTTCTGAAATGATTAGTCGACTTCAATCATGGAATCACTCGACGTCACAGAACGCAGATATGAAGTATTAAAAATGCAGTATTAAAGCGTCCAGCTCTGCCTGCACCCACTGAAAATACTTGTAATATAAATTTGTTTTTTTATCTAATGTTGGATGCTGAGCTGAGCTTATATTTTGTCTATTGTGTCATATCTGCTTCTCTGAGAATCAGACAGGCGACACGACTCATAGTTGAGCATATAAAAGACTTATCAATCATTCCAAAGAGGAGTGACCACCATGTGCAATTTCTGACTGGTGTCTTTTTTTATATATCTTGTATATGAAATTGCTAAATATAAACTAATGTGATGCAGCTTTCATGAAATGAGACCTGCTTTTTTGATTTTCAAACCATCCAGTTATTTAGATGAATACTTTTGATTCATGTGAAACTGTTTTGTGTTGATGCTCAGATTTCATGCCATTGCATTGTATCTTTTCTCTTGCACTATTTATTCTATATAGAAATACGTGATATCAGTGGGTCAATAAACTGTTTTTCATGGAGTCAATGGCTTTGTTTTCATGATATATATATATATATATATATATATATATATGTCTCACATTGCAGTTATGATTTTGAAAGCTCTGATTGTGCAGAGCTGTGCACATTACTGCACCAAGGACAGAATTTCCCAGAGCGACTTATCTGAAACAGGTCCTTTTTATCTTCCTCATCACTCTTTTATCTGAACTTACGTGACTCATCTGCGCTTTCTGTTCTACTGCTCTATTTGTATACACCGTTTATGATGAGTCCGTTAGACAGAGGAAATAAAAATGTAACTCTGAGGCCATCAGCACTACACAGATGAGTCAACACCGCAACACTGTGCTCGAGTTGCTTTAACGGATTTTTACTGTGTTGTCTGTCACAGTGTACCCCACAAAGGGTTTATGGGACACTTAAAAAAAGAATGCGCAAAATGTCACAACATTATTTTAGCTTTTATTTTAACTACTTAAAAGATGGACTCACATTTCTTCATATGAAAGGGTAACTTCTGTATTTTTCAACCTGGACTCTATTTTCACATTTCACATTTTTGTGTCTAAGTGACTAATGGGAACAACAATTTTTCTAATTGGCCTAGCATTGAGCAAAACAGGCTGCAATGTAAACACTTGTGGTATTTTTATGTAAACAAAACAAATACAAATTACACAACAACACTAGAACATATAAACCACTGACATAAACATATGGTAGTAAAAGGAAGGAAAAAACAAACAAATCAACAACAAAAACAAGCAACCGAAAACAGCGAATTAATGATGTCATAATCATCCTTCTTCTAAACTTGGCCTTGATCTATTCCATCTTTTTTCATACTCAACTAACTGCCCCTGCCTTACAGCAATAATGCCTTTGAACATAAAGAATTTTTTTTTTTAAAAAAAAGGAAAGAAAATGGGAATGTTAACCGCTGTTTTCCTCTTGATTCAAAAATAAATCTCTCTCCTAATGATATAATAGTATTTAAAATGCTGGGACAACCATTTCTTCATTCACAGAGCATTATTGCTTGAGGACACATGGTCAAAAAAATCGAACTTGATGCAAGCAATCTTTTGATAGTTGTACCAAAAGTTGCCATGTGAGGACAGAACCAAAATAAATGCAACATATCTTCAGTTTCAGTTTTGCAGAAACAACAGTTTCCATCCTCCTCCATACCCCAACCACAAAGCATTTTTCTCATCTGCAGTATTTTGTATAGAATTTTTAACTGAAAATATTGTGACTTGGAATCTATAACAGCTTTATACATTAGATCATATACCTGTCTCCATGGCAATGGGATATTAAATATTCCCTCCCAGTGCAACTGAAACTTTTCTGGCTTGTTGTTTAAACCACATGCTCTCAAAAGAAAGATGTGTACAAAGAAGCATTGCTCTTTTCTCTTTTAAGCCACTTGTGGCATGTTTGCACCATCAATTTACGTCCACTTAAAGTTCTTGTTATTGCCACTGACACACTCATATTGTATTTGACAACATAATGGAAATGATCCCTGCAGAGAAAGACCTTTTTGTTAAAGATTAGGATCCTGTTTGTGTTTCTGTTTCTGTAATCAGACACAGTCTTGAAATCTCTATCACCAAACCCACCAGACTCCATTTAAATAAACAGTAATTTTATCATTTTAAAACACACTTCATCAAAGTCAACAGAAACAAAACAGAACTCACAAACACCATCTTGGTTAGTCTTTTTACTGTTCTAATAATCAGCAGCTCTCGTTTGGTTGAAGTAAACCCTTAATTCACCCAGTTAGACGTGAAAATATTCTGGCTCTAAACAAGCTAAAATTTATTTGAATAGAGTCTGGTGCGTTTGGCAACTTCAAGGCTGTTTCTGGTTAAGCAAAACAGATCTTACTTTTTAACAGAAAGGTCCTTCTCTGTATAGTGGAAAAAAGAAGCACTTTAAATGGACATAAATGATGGTGCACAAGTGCCACAAGCCATTACATTCCAGCTTGATCCTGCTCAATACTGGACCAATTTCAAAAATAGTCTCCATTAGTCACTTAGACACAAGGACATGGGAAAATTGTGACTGGGTTGAAAAATACCAAACTTACTCTTTAAGAAATTGATGCTCATGAGAACAGAAAGACGAAATTTACAGGCTGTAACACTGGAAGATAAACCCTTGATCTGATCAGTAAGGACTGCTTTAGAAAGCATTTTAACTCAAAACATAGGCAGCTAATATAGACACATAAGAACTGTTCAAAAAATATAAATCTAGGCTCAAAACTCGAGCAGAAATTTGCATTCTGTTTCCTCATGTATTACAAAATCATTGATGATCGTGCATCCAATGCTTTTCTGTTATCCTCCTCACTTTCCTCAAGCAGAAGAAGCGTGCATGCTGTCAATGTAGAGAAATTTGCAATGTCCTGGTGAAATGGGATATCTGTGTTCCAGACGGTCCCGTGGTCGGTTGGCCAACGGCGGTGCTGAGGGTCAGTGGAGCAGAGGGGATTGCTGTGAGGCAATCTGCTCGTAAAGGAGTGTTTCAACAGGGTTCATATATACAGTATGAAGGCTCAAAGTGAAAAGACAATGTTCTCTGATATTCTGGTCACCAAAGAAGTGCAGTTGCTGTGCAAAGATGATACTCCCTCCCTGCAGATTAAACAGTGCACCTTTTGTAGGCATGGGTGTGGTGGTGGGAGAAGGCTTGTGCACTGTGGTTTAGTTTTCTTTACCCATCAGCCATTGTCTCCCCGGCTGCCGGCCTGTGTGTGTGTGATCTCCCTTTTGAACACAACCATGTCTGATGCCTTCGATCCAATGACCCATGCTGTCTGTTTGGGGAGCGTGACACTGGCCCCGAGCTAAATCAGCCTTTTGTCTGTCCTCATAAGACAAGTCTCCCTGCTTGGCAGAACACAGGACTCAGGCTTAGACTGAGGCTAAGCCCATTGAGAAACTGAGAGTGAGAGAGGCTGGGAGCAGGTGCCGGTGGAGGCGTGAGGTGGTGGTTTCTCATGCATTACTGATTTCTGACAGACCATAAATCGAATCGCTTAGACTGCAAAAAGGGAAAGGGACTGTTTGAGGGGGAATAAAAAGAGAAAAACTCCGGCCTTTGCTTCTCAAAACAGCAGACCATCCCTTCTCAAGAAAGAAGTCAAAAGAGGCGAACAGGAAATTAGGTATGTGATGCAGATGCGGGTCCACCACAACCATCACATGACGTGGATTTCCGCTTTGACACATTTTGGCTGCACAGCGGGGCAGGGCCACACAATCACTGAAGAGCTGCTGCAGCAGGACATGATGGTGCTTTGAGGACTACTCTACCATGCAGTCCACCATGAATTTCAATGGACTTCCACGCCAGGGCAGCCAAGAGAGTTACATTCTGGATAATACTCTGAGGAAAAAATGCTCCCTGTGGTACAGACGCTCACTGAGGGGAAACAATGATCGACACCGGCACAACACAGGCTCTCTGCCCAGAGTTTGCAAGGTGAGACAATAAGCCAAGTTGACATATATTTGGAAAATAACATGTAAACACACACACTTCTGCAAACTCTGTCATAGAAACTTGATTGGAGCTGAGATTTTTCTCACACAGTACTGTTTTATAATGAGAAGCAGTTTACTGATTTACCACCAACTAAGTACAGCAGCTCCCTGCAGCTGGCCTAAAAGCCTTTTAACAATTTTAATCTTTTGAGTTATTTAGCACTGTAGGATCAGCATGTTCTAACAGTGACTGACCTCTTTAGTTCCAGGAGAGGTTTAAACCATGAATTTATTATATTGTTTTAAAGAGGAACTCTGCAATTCTTCTTTTGCAGCCCAAACCAAGCCGCACCAACTCACTGGTTGATTACGCCGACCCACAAAGGTAAATACATCAAAATCTGATGTGCAGTTCAACTTCAGCCTTCCTACGTTTCAAATTTATTGCATTTTTTTTATGTTTTTGCAATAGATTTTGTATTAAAAGACAATTAAAGTCAGAAAAAATGAAGTATTTTTTGCTTTTCTTTTTTTGCACAGGACCACAATTGTACTGGAAAAACAAGACAATGAAACATTTGGTTTTGAAATTCAGGTAACCACCTTTTATAATTGTTAAAATCCCTTTCAATATCTGATTCTGGAGCAATTTTCATGCTCACTTCAAGTTTAAGAGGATCTTTTTGTGGAAAGGTATTGTTTTCCTAACAAATGGTCTCTTGTTGCAGACCTATGGCCTGCAGCTGAAGGACAGCTCTGCAGTGGAGATGTGCACGTTTGTGCGCCAAGTGCAGGAGGAAAGCGCTGCTGAGAGTGCTGGCCTGACCGCAGGTGAACCACCTACGCCTTCTTTACAGGCCCTGCACAGGCTTTCATACACACACGAAACCGGCAGACCTTATCATGCCTTTCTGGTGCACATAGATTGACAGATACATCACTTTTTTATACACGCACACACCCATACTGATGCAATAATACCACACAGAGCCATGGTGAGTTCTCGTAATTGATCAAGTTCCTCTTTTTTGCATCCTCATTTATCTCAGGAGACATTATCGTCACTATCAATGGGGTCAGCATTGAGGGGTCGTCTCATCAGCACATCCTGGATCTGATTAAAGAATCAACCAACACTCTAAAGTGAGTAAAATTAATTAAAACTGGTTGTACAGCGAAGCACAGCAGAGGATAAATCAGCTGCATAGCAGTACAAATGAAGGGTGTTGAAAGTGTGTGTAACTATGTGTTATTATGTGATTTCAGGATGGAGACTGTATGTGGAAACATAGTGAAGCAGATAGAGCTGGAGAAGAGGATGAACCAGCTCAAGGTGTGTCTCTTTAACCCTGCCCATGTTTGTTGTTGAGATACAGCAGCTCTGTGGTTGTGTTGCAGCGTACAGACAACTCTACTTAACCACACAAACCCAGCTATTTGTAATGAAAGAGCATAACTGCCACGCAGTTGTTAATTACAGGCTGACCTACTGTGTGAATCAGATTATACTCAAATATTTCACAACTAAACCCACACAGCAGTAGAAATGTGTGCTCTCATACTCTGTAGATAAATGTTCTGAATGTATGAGTTGATAGAAGAGATGTCCACACAAGGACTATGCAGTATTTCACTTTGAGCTTTTCAGGCTTTCATCAGAGCATATGTATGAGTGTATACGCTGTAAGAATTTTACTGGAAGTTAAACCATGTTGTTTCTTGCCCATACAGCAAACGCTTCGTGAGAAGTTGGTGGAGCTGCAAGCCCTCTCATTACAGGAAAAGCTGCTAGTGCGAGGTGAGAGGGTTTTGCTCAGCTGTCAGACCACAGCACTTCCCTTCTCACAGCCACGGTCATGCTTCTAAAGCGGCACTGTTCATGTTGTGAATTCAAGTGTAAACTCCAATAAATCAGATAAAAGGAGTTCCCCAGAGAAATGAACACAGACTGACGAACATCCTGTTGCAAATTTCTCGCCAGCTGCAGCATTTCTCTAACAGGGACTCTGTTGTGTTTTCAGGTAACTTCAACAACAGCAGCCTCCACCTCTCAATGGGCTCCTCAGTAAGTCTGAACTCCCCCTCAGGCCGCTGTGGCCGGCGTTTTTCTAGTGACAGTAGCTACAGGAGCGTGATGACAGATGACAGTGACCAGGCCAGTGTGTTTGGGGATCTGTGCTCTCCCAGCCCCTGCAGTGCAGCCAGCACCACGGACGACGGCTGCTTCTTCTCCAGAGATTTCCCCTCACAGGACTGCGGGTTCTCCTCCAGCTCCAGCCGTCATCACCAATCCCTCTGCCGCTCCAGCAGCTCCAGTTTGGCAGGCAGCAGTAGCTCCCTCTCTCCTTCCTGGGAGGAAACAAGGATCTCCTCCTTGTTCGGTACCCTGCCCCGTAAGAGCAGGAGAGGCAGCGTTCGTAAACACATCCTGAAGTTAATTCCTGGACTCCAGCGATCAGTTGAAGAGGAGGAGACGGGAACAAACACTTAGTGACTTGTTCACATGCTTTTGTTGCAGAAAGAAAAAGACTCTATAATGATACCCACACTTAAGGTTGGGTAAACCCTTTTGGCCTTCATGGGAACACAGAGACAATGGACATGTTGGCACTTGGCATTTGCCAAGGTCAAAGTTTACCCAAGAAGGTCCTCAGCCTCAGAGGTGAGCCTGGCTCACTGCTTGGCTCAGACTGGTGCCGGCACAAAAGCATTACGAAAACAATCTTCCACTGTTTGAATGAATGTATGTGAACAAGATTGTAATGTACATAGATGAGATTATGCATCCTACTAGCTTGAATTAAAACTGACATTTTCCCATGCCATAATCATAGTGGGATGAGCATTAATGAGAATAGTCTGAACTGCAGTAGCTGTATTCGTGTAGCACCTTGAGTTTTTAGACCTTCGTGACCTAAAACACACAACAACCATTCATTTTTCAGGTCAGGTAGACATTTAAAGAGTACCTCTGTCACATTCAGGTGCTGAAAACCAAAACCAAAGCTCTACTCAGTATAGATGTCTGCTCAGTTCAAAACAGGATGTGGGCAAAGGAGGTACTACTTAACCGTTTTCATTTCCATCATTATTTTCAGGCTGTCTGCAACTTTCGGTGTTGGTTCAGAAACACTGACACTGTTTCTTGTAAACTGTGAAAGTGCTTAAATGTGTTTTTTTCAATTTCAGAAGCATGAAAATAAAGCTTTTTGGGAGAATGTCATGATTTATTTTTTGATATCAAATCAAGAAAATCTGTATAAAAAAGCTTAAAAAAAATGATAATAAACTTGTGAAGTCTTACAAACCCTTCCTGTGTTTTCTGTTAGACACCAGATAATAACACACACTCATTCTTACGTCAGAGTGAGCTACACTGAGGATTTCTGTTTATGATGAAGGTTTACACACAATATTATTTTGGGTAATGCACACTAGCTTGTAAATATAAGGCTACAACACTTGAGAATAGAAACCTCACACGTTTCCTGTAATAAGTCTCACGTCTTTGGTTTCCTGCTGCTGCTGCTGTCACTGCTGCAGAGAGAGAGCTACAGAGGGGCATCATCACATTAGCACATTATAATAAAGTAAACTGTTTTCCCTCACTCGATGATAACTATTCACAAAAATGATTTTATTTTAAAGTAGCAAAACTGAAAGAGTGGAGAAAAATCATTGTAAAAAAGATCACCACCTCATTTTACTGTTTTGTGTTATGAAACAGGAAATAAAATGGTTCAGTGCTTCTTATGAAAAGAATTATTATGAAAAGTTATTTTGCATGTAGACAGTGTTACATGGAAGCACTGAGAGGCAAATGCAGTAAGAAAAAAACACGTTGACCAATTTCCTGTGTCTGATCTAAATTGTGTTCATGACTTAAGAACAGGTCAAGGTTTTGCCAGGATAAGTTGTCTGACTTTCCTTACAATAAATAAATAAAATCGGTGAAACAGGTGGGAGAGTTGTTTGACAGTTTGCTACATCATTATTATTATCATTTTATTTTTTGTCTGAATAATTTCTCTCTGTGTTTCTTGTTGTAATACTCCTTTCAGCCACAAGAGGCTGAAGTGCACCCTATCCTGTGTTATGAAGGCTGTCACGTCTCTTTTCCAGGTTTAGTTTTTCCAGTTTTAATTTCTCCATGCACTCTAAACACACGCCAACTTGCTAGCACACAATATATGTATCTTTTTAGAATATAGGGTAGTGGTGCATTTCAGCCTCTTGTGGCCAGAATGAGCACAAACACATAAAAAAGGTCACCAAAACTTTTTTTCATGTGTTATAACCGATTAAAAACGAAGTTCTTTGGGTGCCCACTGGCTCACCTGGTGGAGTGGGTGCCCCATGTACAAAGACTGTGAGACAGAGAAAACAATTTAGCTCAGACATAGACAATGGATCGCCAGATTTTTTGTCTCACTTGCCCCTCAGGGCTTCCATAGAATTCACATCCTTTAATTAAGTAATGGTACTAAAACAACACGTAAAATAAAGGTCCTGCATTCAAAATCCTATTTAAGTGAAAGAACAGAAGTATTATCAACCAGCAAAAGGTGCTGAAGATGCAAAAAAAGGTGGTTCTGCTGTAAAATTAGTCCTATGTCACATTATTAGATTGTCACTATCAAGCATCAGCCTGTTAGCAGGGTTTTTACTGGTGTAGCTTTTTTAGATGGATCAATCTTAAACTACTTCATACACAGTTATGTAGTTCAGTCTTGTGGCTTCCAACCTAGGGGTCAGGCCCCTCCAAAGCATCACAGAATAAATCTAAGGGGTTGTGACATGAGTAATGGGGAAGGAAAAATCCACAAATCTTTACAACTCTTTGTATTTTTGTGAAATACTGGAAAGTGATACCTCTTTGTAGCTCGAACAGTGCTGATGTGTGTTGATAATGCTGTAAGCTTCCAAACTGTTATATCAGCATCTTACTTAAGATGCAATGGTATTTATGTTCACTGAAGAAGAAAAACCTATAGGAGAATGTTAATCCAGACTCACGACGTAACAGAATGAAGGTGGTCACCCAGCAGAGATTATCACAGAATGAGTACAATCACTTCATATACAGATGCCAGAGTCACAAAGAGTCTTTGTTGGGGCCACAACAAAACCCCTGTTCTTCTGTGATTCAACACGCACACAGAATTACATGGTACTAGCACTAGAGAGCACACTAGAGAGCTTGACCTGACACTGCTGACTGAAGCGCAGGATGGATTTTGTCTTCACTCTCTGACAATGTAGGATAAGTAGTATTCTGGTAACACACTGGAGCAGACGATCTGACGATGAGAAGTCTGAAGTTGCTTAAACTTTAATTCAGTTTGCAAAAAACAACTAAGCGCATTGAAGCTTGACTATATTCAGTATCACAGGAGAAAGAAAAACAGGCAGATGGAGATGGAGACAACCACAATGCCTCCAAGGAACCCGAGGCCCACAATAGACGAAGATGCACTGGCATCCCAGGTGCTGGAGATCATTGGTGGGATCACTCAAGAGGCTCTCCAGACCCCAGAGGAACCTGATGTGTGGCTAATGGAGGAGGGAGATGACTCTGTGTTCTACAGTGATGAGGACCAAGCTCACCAGGACAGAAAGTCAAACACATCTTGCGGATTTGGTGCCAACGAGCGTGAGCATCTTGTCAACAGTGTGGCAGCTGATGAGGATGATACAGGGGGAGAAGAAGAATCCATTATTGAGGAAGAAGTCACAGAGTTGGAGGAAGAAGTGACTTAGCAGGTTACTGTGACTGAACAAGAAGAGGAAGAGCTCCAGAGACCTAAAACTGAGCCTAAGGATCAGTCAGATCCTGCAGATCCACGGGCACAGGCTATAACTCCAGAGACGTCTGTGAGTGCATGTGGAAAATCACGAAACTGCCCAGCTGCTGACATGCAAACACAGCAGAATATATCAGCAGAAAAAGGTAAGTGCAGGACATTTTTCAAGGTGTTTTTCCACATATATATCACATGAAACTATACAAATATATTTTAATGCGGTTAAACTAGTGTGTTCACATTTTTTTTTAACAAACTCTAATACTGTTCAATGCCATGCAAAACATTGAACTTTGCTCCTGACTCCTCACCTTCTCCCCTCTCTTTCTACTCCTCCCTTCTGTACCTACCTCCCCTCTCCCTCATTCAACTCCTTCCTCTGCAGATGAAGTATTTTCAAGAACAACAAAGTTGCAGGAATACTATTAATTGTAGTTGAAAAATGTAACAACTGTATTACTCCTTAGATGTTACTTGATTTTTCCAGATTTTATTTACCTGCCAGGGTCTCCTATTATACAGGGGCTTGCAAGATATTCTTGAGCTGCACAACATTTCATGCATTCTGTCGGCCATCTTGGTTTTGAGGGATTTGTGTTACACTAACAACACCTGGCCAGTGGGTGGCAGTGTATGTCAGTGTATGTCCATGTATGTCCAATGGCTTTCTAAATAGCTGTCCACTGTAGTGACCACTATACCTAGGGGGGTCCGAGAGAGATTTTTTTCCCATTTACAGCAGCTATATGAACGCTTTTATCCAAGACATCTGAGATAATAGAATTCCTAAAAATCTGTACATCATTTGGGAAAAATGATAGTTACCAAGAAAAAAAAACATCCTGTGGAGCCTACATACTGTTTTTTATCTAATTGCTGTCCTACTGTCTCCATCACTCTGAAACCGTAACACAATAAATAGGCTATTGAGGATGATTAACTTTACTCATGCCACCTAAACAGATGCAAAAATTGTCTGATGATACTGCATTTTAGGTAGGTTATATTAAATAGGGGCCCATAAGCTATCAGTCTGATGATGATAAAGCTTCTGGAGGTGAGGGCCAATATTCTTGGCTGATCAGGTGTAGCCAGATATCCACAACAAGATTTCCTCCTCCGTGTGCTGGTCATCTCCATAACCCGATATTTGCATATGAATGCAGATAAATTTTAAAAAGCTAATAAAAAGCAAACTTGTCAATAGCCAATAGATGAAATCCACTGGGTTCAGAGATTGCATTTCAACTAATGCATTTCATCTCTCCAGAAAGACTGTTCACCTGCTGTTCAAATGTGACTGGTCAATACTAAACTTCTGATACCAGAATCTTTCCCTGTCATCTACAGATTCTGCATACATATGCAGATATATGTTTATAGAGATCTAGAGATCTTGATATTGAGATCTTGGACCTGTTTTTGTTATACTATGCTGGAGTAGACTTCACAGAGTGAAAGTTTAGTTGACAAATATGCTTCATTTGAATCCATGCTATAATAATCTGGGCTGCTCTAATTGCAAATCAAGGATCCCTAACAATGCCAAGTAAATGTGGTTTTCAGTGCTCTTAAATGAATAGAGAGCAACAGAGGAACATTTATTAATCAGTTTATATTAGATGTATTTAGGAAATAGCATTGTTTCTGGGCTTTAAATCATTCAGGGCTGGAGACCCCAAAGCCACCCGTCCACCCTGCACCTGTTATTGTGCAGGGAAATTGATTGATCAAGAGGGTATTCTTTTGGTCTTAAGCAGAGGTGGGACAAAGTCATTGCTTTGCAAGTCACAAGTAAGATTCAAGTCCTCGCACTCAAGTCTCAAGTCAAGCTCCAAGTCAAGACTGACAAGTCCCAAGTCAAGTGTTTGGGTCCTCAACTTTGATTTTCAATTCTTAAAAAAGTCATAATGAACTCTTGACTAAATGTAATGTCATTTTAACAACAGAGAGACAATAAATGTACAAAAATCAAGAATGCTTTCTAAAATTTGTATTTATATGTTAAAACAAGTTTATTAAAACAAGGACAACTGAACTTAGTAAAATAAAGGAGTTCTGATGCTGCACCTTCATACCATGTAGCATTACTAATGAATAGCACAACAGAATGAATTTTGTAATTTTCTGTCCTGTCTTGTTGTATTTATCATATCTTAAATTGGCAAAATATCTTTAACCTCCCAAATTTAGGATTTTTATGCCAGACTATTCTTCCTTTAACCCTTTGAAACTTTTCTTGAGCAGCTTTCAGACACCTTTTGCAAGTATTTAAACCTTTGAACCCTGAGCAAACTGGTGCAATATCTTTCAAAAAGCATGGGTAAAAAGACAATGGGCAACTTGGTAAGAAAAGTCCCACAAATTGCAAGAAAATAACAGATTTAGAAAATTACAGGTAAAAGAATATTATTACATAAAGTTATGGTATAGAATTATTGTAATTTTTAAGCACTTTTCCAGGTAATTTCCTTGTTTGATTGCTTTTAGTTTTCTGTTTTTTCTTAACTAATTTTCTTGTCTTAAATTTTCTCTTTTTACTAATTTCTTGCAATTATTTGGGATCATTTCTTCTTTCGTTGCTCATAGCCTTCTTCCCATGTTTTGGTAAGAAATCAAGTCAATTTGATTTCAAAAGGTTAAAGTGATATTGAATATTGCCCCGTGTTTTACATCTAAAGGAAATAAAAAAATAAGGTAAATTAATTGATATGAGGCACACCTTTTAAATAAGATCTTTGGGTTTGGGGAAGGTTTTGAGTATTTTTCAAGTCAAAAGGCTCAAGTTCAAGCGAAGTCATGTGATACTGGTGTTAAAGTCCAAGTCAAGTTGCACTCTTCTTGGATTTTGTCATGTCAAGTCTAAAGTCATCAAATTTGTGACTTGAGTCCATACCTCTGATGTTTACAGAATACAAAACAGATTTATCTCTTCCTTTTCTCTTTAGCAAATCTACCAACTGAGAAGAAAGAAGTGACACCAAACCTTGAACCCTCTGACATCACCAATGAGGAGAGTGACACAAGAATGAAAGGGGAAGCAGACATCCCAGAGCAGATGTCCAGTGCTGAACTCCAGATACCAGGTGACAGGCAGCTTCAGGTGGACCACAAGCCAGAGCAGGACCACAACTTCCATGTCTCCGTGGGGTTTCATCAAAAGCCCAATCCAGGCTACTCCACTCTGCCTCTGCCGAAGAAATCCGGTGGCAGCGCCAGCTCCCAGAAATCCTTCAACCACCTCTCTTCCTCCAAATACAGCACCGTGTCCTACCGCAGGATCCGCAGAGGCAACACCCGCCAGAAGATAGAGGCATTTGAGCACATGATTATGAATTTGTAGGATGGTTTTAAAGGAAAATAAAAACTGCCATAACACAAAAAAAAGAGCATACAGGAAACTGATTGCACATCTACAGTTTACATATTTATTTGTTCTAAAATCTTGTACATGGTATTGGAAAATCTCTGACGTAACTCCAGGTTTCATAAAATCTTTCAAATGAAGAGTGCCATTCATATCTTCTGTGTAGCATCTGATTGGAGAGCGATGCCTAAAAACATCCCATGTCTAGGATGTACTTCATGTTTTTCATTTGATGAGGATGAAAGCATCTTGTTATGTAAGGCAGGTATTTGAGTAGCAGATTACACAAATAAGACGCTCAGGGCTTTATAATCCTATAATAACTATGACGCTGTTTGGTATTAGAGCTTCAGTGTTTTCAGGTGATTTACTGAACACACATACTAACATGTCCCAATGACTGGTGGATAAGGACAAAAACAATAAAGAAAAACATGGTATTAAATCTTTATCTGTCATTTTATTTTTATTTTCTTAAGAAAATGTATTTGATAACAGGCCACAAAATCATGATATCACAGCACAGGTTTATTTTATGTTCCGAGCAAACACTTCCCTCTAGTGTCAAGAAAAAAAATCATACAAAGGAGACAGTCTGTACAACACCTACACCTAAATTATGCAGCATTTAAAATCATTGAAGCAGCTGTTTCACCCATGTGCCTCTTCAAACGTAAAAATATGTGACACCTACAATAGATGTCTCACCGAAAATATGTGATATGTTTAATACAAATGTATACAATGTACATTACATGCAATTTAACTTATGATTCGGTCCCAGCAGAGAAAAAACAAAAAGGAAAAATCACTTTTTTACGTTTCATATCTAAGAGGCACAGTTAATCTTTGGCATTGAGACGATATGTTGCTCTCAATTTGGAGTGTTCTTGCGCAGACGTTCACCTGAATCCCTTTAGCAAACTCCGGTCCAAATCTTCCTAAACAGAGAGAAGACACTCTCTTTCCTCTGGCACTTAAAACTCAAGGTCAGTCCATGCTGATATGATACAAAGAGAATTAGAAGCATTGCACATCCCCACACCCTGTGCGTTACACCACACGTCACTGTCACCAAAACGCTTCCCACCTCCTCCGGACAGTCGTGTGCTGAGTCTGGACCGCAGACCGTGCTGTAGTGTGAGGCCACTGAAGGTCTCTATAGTGCATGTTTGACACGTTTCAGTCTCATCACTAAGCGTGGTAGTGTGTGAACTGCCACTTTTGGAAGGCGTTTCTGGTTTCACACGGATTGAGGTGGAGAGTGTCGCCCTGAGGCCCCGCCTCCAGGCACATGTGGTTGGAAACGTACTCTGCTATGAGGTGCTCCGCCTTCACAAAGACAAAACAGGAAACATGATTAGCAAACAAAGCGATGGCCTCCGAGCACTCTTTGATTGTACTTCATTAATTCCCAGCTGAGAGCAACTTTTTGAAGCAGGCGTGTCCTGTTGTTTTAAATACAGAGACTGAGAGCCTCTAAAATGATAGAGCTGAGAAAGGAAAGGAAAATAAAGACTGTACCCAAAACAAACAGCACGCCCAAAGTCAACCTACCAGAGCGGAGTTGGAGGATTTGTGAAACCAACGGTGTTCGGGCTTGGTGTTGTCACATAATTGTAAAATGAAGCCGTCGCCCTTGCCGTGGGGAGCGACACATAGATCTTGCTGGCGAACGTGCCTCATCCAGGTGTAATTAAAGTGCTGACTCTGAATACGAGAGAGAGAGAGAGACAGAGACGGGAGAGTGACAAGGGTGTAATTATGCTCCATGAAAACTGACAGATTTTGAAGGATGGCTCAGTGGGGCTGCTCTGAATCCAAAAAGACCGCATTTAGAAAGGCCTGGTCCCGTCGTGGACTCCACCCTTGTTTATTGTGGCGTCATTCCTGTCTTGAACTTGATTGCATTCCTCCTAATCTGGGTCTATTCCTGGATATATATCTCTGTTGTGACCCCACCCATAATTACAACAAAGGCCAAAATTCCTCATTATCTGCATTTTTTCCTGTGAAAAACTAAACACTTGCTGTTTATTTTCAGTCAAATAATCTGTGAAATAAAATACCCACCTGCTTGCTGAGATCACATGTCTCAAACGACAAGGAGCCTTTCTGCAGACTGAGGCATTTTCTTAAACCACGATTAAAAACCTACAAGGACAAATTAGATGACAAGAACTTTACTGGAGAGAAAAAACAGCAATTCAAACATTTGGGTGCTCATTCGAGTCGCACATGACAATGAGCCTTGTTGCTGTCCGTCAATGAATCCCGATAGAAAGCTGTCACAAGCTTTAATGGACAGCTATTCTTTGTTCCAAAGGAGCACAATCACAGTCTGTGTTTGAGCCGATTCTGTTAAGAGCTTCTCAGCAGAGATAACAATAGCTTCATAGAGGGAAAGCAAACAAGCGTTCACTTTTAAAAGATCTTTTAGTGAAATGCAAACAAAGCTTATTCATGTACATACCAGGCCTTCGGCTTTAGCTAAAGGAGCATTCATTTCTGGATACACGTTCTCCAGGTACCACTTGAAGCTCTTGCATTTGAGCCTCTTCCTCAGCTCGATCTGCTCGGTGAGGTTGCCGATGTTAATGGTCTTTTTATCCAGCAGGTGGTGGTAGCCGTGGCCGTAGAAGAGGTCCTTGTACTCGTCCAGCCAGACCTCTGCCACCCTCGCCAGGTTACGCTCCACTGTCTTCTGCCTGTCTTTGGGGAACTTGTAAGGATTCTGTCCACGGAAGATGTGTCCCACTCGAGAGCAGGGGATAATCTCTATTTCCCCTCCACACATCCAGATCTGTTCAAATGGCAAAATACAGGACCAGTGAGTCATGTGAGAGATGTTCAGGGGAGTTTCCAAACACCTGTTGACAATATTCCTGTATTAATTGACTGATTCAAAGTCCCACTCCCCTGAGTGGGGTTGGATAAGCTTGACAATAAGACACTTGGCGACACCGGTTGCTGTGAAGCGTCAATGCTAATCACTGCACCACTGTGCTACCTACAGTACTGGTCTTCTTCCAAATCTCTTTAACGTTACCACAGAAATAAGGAGGAAGCAAACCTGGCTGATGTTAGTGATGTGACCTTAGGGTAACTCCTTTTGATGTAGCTTTACGTTAGCTAGCTACTTAGCTTGTGTTTTGCTAACATCAGCTTACTTAAGATGCGAATAATGTTAAGTTATTTGTAGAGTGTCGCTTGTACATGCCCTCCAGTCACATTTTTTAACCATCTTCACAATTTGGTTTTCTTTTCAACAGAGACGCACCTAACACATAGGATATCCCACGGCCAAAACACATGGCACAAGACATCTGCAGGCCTGCAGCAGAGCATGACCATTATAATCAACTGAAGCTGCTGCACTGACCACGGAAGTTGCCCTTTATTCCATGGGTGCTGCTCAACGCTATTTTTACATGGCTGTTCTAGTTTTTTTTTTCCTTTCATGTGGCTCTGCTTTCCTCCAACAGGTGAAACTACATACAACTGAATAAAAAACAAGTACAATCTGTGTAAAAGTGATTATAATGAATACCTTATTGTACCAAAGGCAATGTGACGCAGCAGTGCATCCTTACGGGTATTTTTCATTTCAAATTAAAATACATAAATCAAATCAGTGATCCCATTAATTAATTCAGTATGTATTAATATAGTCTGCATGCTTCCAAACCCTCCATAACCACTTGGCAAAACTCACTCTACACACAATGAAGCTGGCAGCAGCTACATGCTGCAAGAGCGGACTCTGTGTAGCAGGTAAAAAACCTCACTCCCCTCCCCATCCCATCATTGCCTCATGTATTTTGGCTGTAAATGTAACAGGAAAGGGGAGAGCTAACTAAGGTTCTGCTGGGTGCTTGCTCAACTGTTATTGATCAAAGAGTGAAAAGGGGCTTAGGAAGGTCAACTAGATGTGTGTTATACCTTAAAAGAAATCTCCATGTTCTCCCCACCCCATACATCCAGGCCAGAATCATAGGCACCAAGCTCATAGAAGTATTTTTTGTCTATGGAGAACAGGCCTCCGGCCATAACTGGACATCTGTAAGATAAAAATCAATAAATTAAAATGCCGTAGAAGTAATATAAAGTCATATGAAAATATGAATATGAAAATGGACTGTTTAGGTACTTTATGGGATCTGAGATGCTCATGTTGTTCTTCTTAATGTACTCGTCTGACAGTGCGCTCCAGCCAAACACCAAAGGCCATTTGAAAATACCTCTTTGGAAGTTGTCAACCAGCATATAACTGAGGAGAAAGAGCCGGAACAGAACATCAAAATTACTTTTCCCACTATATTACAGTAGAAAACATGATGACATCACATGTACTGCTTGTTGAGTGCGTCACCTCATGTCCTTATCACTGATGACTTCAATAACTGGGCAGGGCACCTTCTTGCGATCCAGATAAACTCTCTCAAGCAGCGGCTCCAGCCAGCCAACGTTACACTCAATGTGGGAGTCAAGGAAGGTGAGTACCTCACCTACAGTGTGTAAAAGCAAAGCAAACATCCTGCTGTGGTTAAACAAATAACCACAACTACATTTTAACAGTGTAACCTGCGTAGCAGCCCAGAGCTCTCTGAAATGCAGTTGCTCATTTAAATATGTAAATAACACGCATAAGGAATACATGGCAAATGCCCAGGAGAGCAGGTGCATGTTTGTGTTGGTTTCTACTGGTAAATAATGTGCAGTGCAACTCAGTAGGACCTGCTCTAATGTTTCAGTGCTGCATTTGATACGAGACTATTATCCCATAGATGAACTTTCACTCTTATGTGTCAGTGCATGCACATGTCTACTAATACATGTGCTGTGATGCAAATGGAGGTGAATCAAATCCGCAAGCGGTTTGGCTTTGCAAGATACAGAGGCTGGGTCACAGACTTTGTGTACTTTTGACCTATATATTGCTCTTTTATCACATTATCTAAAGCCCACTACATTTTTTAACCCCCCATTAAACAGTATCATAATCCCTCAACCAAGATTAATTTACTTTACATGAGTGTTAAAAGGACATTTACAACTCCAGACTTGATCTGTGTACATGCTTCTTCTTATCTGATTAGCTCAGTGCTGAATAAACATGGCCTATATAAACAGTATGTCATTTTTCTAAACTGTACTTCTATCCATGTCATATCAATAAGCATGATACACTACTCCATACAGTTATAATCCTGCGCAGCAAGACACACACCTCAAATTACAGCAGTGTTCTTTCAAAACTTGCACACAATTATGAAGCAACGCGGCAGTTTGGATAATGGGAGAAAATGACTCACTGGGAGATGTCAAATAAACACAGGAGCAGCAATTACATTTAGTCATTCCCCAAAGGACATGTTTGTGTCTGACTGCATGATTTGACACATTCATGTAAACACCCTTCATCCATGCCTCCATCCCCTCTCTACATATGTGCATATATATATAAACTATACATTAAAAGTTACCTTTGGCTACAGCGGCTCCGGCCAGCCTGGCCCTGATCAGGCCCTGCCGCTCCTTCAGGCGGATGATTCGCACTTTGGGAAACTGGGACATGTATGTATCTAACTGCTCCTTCAGATAGTCTGTTGGAAGAAAATATTACACATGATTTTACAACACTGACAGCAGACAAAAGCGCATACAGCTTGAAAGCCAGACACCAAATAATGGGCAGATCTTTAATAACAGCTGAGGGCTTTTTGAGTCACTTTCTATTGGCATATTAACTGAAATAATTTGCATTAAAATGTTAGTTGCTGCGTATTAAGTAAAAGCTCCAACATGTCACGAGCAGTCAAACAGCTGAGGGCTGTTCTGGGTGCATTAAATAGAGCCTGACTCATAAATTGGCTCCCTGATCTGATCATCTTATCAAAGACACATCAGCACTGGCACATGAGTCGGCTGATAAGTGACATCAAACTGCAGTACACAAATACCAAATATTGTTGTTTACAGTAATTTTGAAACAGTGTCATAAATAAATAGCTTGTCCATCAGAGAGTGCGGTCAAGTTTATCATCAGCTGTAAAATGTCTTGCTCAGTGTGTTTTTGTCACAACTCCTTTATCTTAAATAGCTACAAACTAGTCCATACCCATTGGTAGCTTTGTCACCTTCTACCTATGCCAATCCTCAATGCCTATGTGCAGTTTCACATAGATTGACCACGTCAGTGAGTAGAGAAATGTGGGACAGACAGAATGACACACTGACAGAATGACACACACAGTTTCCATGATTATGTACAGCATACCATACCATGACTTAGTCATACCAAAAATTAGAAAAACAAAAAACATTGGGCCACCCAGGGTTATAGCACCACCCAGTTGGTGGTTTTCAAAAAATTCAAAATGGCAGAAAATCTATATAACCAGAGGTTATGGGTTCTTGAGGCAAATTTGTTCCTCATGAGGAGAGGCATCTCTGTGCAAAGTTTCATGTCTCTATGACATACGGGGCATGAGATATGACCATTCAAAGTTTCCAATTTATGTAATATTGCTTCATTCGCATCCTCCCATGACCCTCTACGACTGTGCCAAATTTCACATGGATTGACTAAGTCAGTGAGGAGAAAAACGTGGAACAGACACACAGATTGACAAAGTTTTCATTATTATATAGTAAGATAAGGGATAGTTTTTAGTAACATTTGTTTTATACCATGTACTTAAGTAAATCAAAACACTTCTCACATCTCCAGATCTCCAACACGCCAGAATTGTGCTATGTTTTTAATACTAATGAACTTCACTGAAGCTTACACTGGTCTACACTTCGCTGCGTGTGTGTTCTCAAAGTAAGAAATGTATGGGTTTATGTGAAATAATAATAATGCTAACATTCTGTATATTGTTATCAATCTTGCCTAAAAACAAAATCCAGTTTTGGCAAGACTCTAATTTTGAAAAACAAAAAAAATATATAAAAAACAAGTATTATATAAGTATACCAGGGCTGTCAATCGATTAAAATGTTTAATCACGATTAATCGCATTATTGTCCCTTGTTAACTCGCGATTAATTGCAAATTAATGTACCTTAAAGGGATATTTTTTTAAGTTTTTAATACTCTTATCGACGTGGGAGTGGACAAATATGCTTGCTTTATACAAATGTGTGTTTATTATTATTGCAACAATCCAAAACAATAACATATGCCGTCCAGAATATTCTCCAGATTAACCTCAAAGGTGATCCATGCTTGAAAATATGCTGAAAACATATCATGGCAAACTCAGGCCCAACAAGCAACAACAGATGGACATATTGATCTCAATGTAACGTTACACTTGTTAAGGTTAACTAAACATCCCCTGTTTTTTAAGCAGCTGACCTTCAGTCAGAGACATTTTTAAGAGGCAGCAGCAATTAATATATGCCTAATCATTAGACACATTGTGATTATTAATACTGAATATATTCAGTTTTAGGCCATAAACAAGCAAGTGTATCAACTTCTGTACATAATGCCTGTAAATCTATCTCTTTTTGGCACACTGTGCACCGCAGACGAGCCAGAAGGAATAACACACCTCTGATAATAAAAGCCTAGTGCTCTGTGTTATCATTTTTATCAGTTTTCTGGTGCTCTAGTTGTTGCTGTAGTCAATTTTTGTCCCCCTGAGGAGACCCATTCAAGGTAACACACTCTACCGGTGAAGCATTATTACCTTTGGTGCTGAAATCATCCACCAGAATGATCTCTTCGAGGAGGTGTGGTGGCGATCTGTTGAGCACACTGTGCACAGAGCGAAGCAGCGTGGACCACACTTCATCCACAAAACAGAAAATCACACTGGTGGAGGGCAGGTTATCATGGACCAGGTTCTGCGCACACCTGGAACATCACAGCAAAAGCAACTCAGTTTGGTAGTCAAAGCACTTTGAGAGATAAAATATGCAGAACAGGACTCACATATCAGGCCTGGTGTCTGGGATGGCACGGTCGACCGGGATCTTGTCGCTCAGGTAGACATTAAAATGCCCTTCGTCCCATCTCTTCTTCACTTCAATATCTTCGTTAAAGGCCACAACTGCTGCCTGACCAAACTGGCCCACTGCGTTGGCATCTCTGGGTGCGTTCGTCACATCCAAAGCGAGCACTTTGTGGACACCTGGTTTTCTGACGGCAGTGGCGTTATCCTTGGAGCCCTCTGCTGCTTGGAGCTTGATTGCAGGTTTGGGGGTTTCCTTCGCTGCCTTTAGGTCATGTTTCTCCTCTGTTTTATTATCTAAAACCTTTTGTTCTGCATCCTTGATTTGAGGTTTAGATGTTGTGTTACCAGGGTGTGGAAGCTGACTCACTGTCGTCTCAATCTTGGTCTCAGGGTCATCCTTGCCTTTTGAATCAGCTTTGTCCTGAGCGTTTTGTACAATGTCTCCCGTTTTGATGGGTGGCAGGGGAGCATGTTTGTTTTCCTGAGCACCAGGAGGCACTAGGGTTGCATTAGGCACTACTACAGGTAACACCACTTTAATAGAGCCATCCATAGCTCTACTTTTCTCTACTTTTGTCCCATTCACATCCAGGTTTACGGCTTTTTTCTGTGCAGGAACATCCTGCTTTGGTGTGACATGCTGTAAGGCAGGTCCATCTTTATGTTCATTAGCAGCATGTTTAGGGTGGTCATCTCCTTGGTTATGAAAAGAGTCCACCTCCAAAATTTGATTCTGTATCTTACCTCCATGTCTGTATACTTGGGCCAGTTTGACGCTTGAGCTAAGTGGTCCTTTCCCTGCTTGTGTAACATCAAAGTCCACCCTCTGAACTGGGTGCTTGAACCCCCTTCTCATCCCCTGGGTCACCCTGAACTGCTGCTGTTTAAAAATCTCCCTCTCTCTTATCACCTTCTCCTTCAGCAGCTGACTGTTCACATCGTTTATTGATAACTTGAGTGCTGCCATGTCGAGCAGCAGCCAAATGACAGAGGCTATGAACACAAACGCGAGTACCCTCCCACTCCCCCTCAAGTATCTCCTCACCTTCATCATTCTCGGCTTTTTTAAAAAAGGAAATCCACGCGAAAACATACAAAACGTCAAAGTATCATACTGTGTGGGCCACTTCTGAGCTGTGGGCAAAGTTTTCTTGTCTTTGAAGAAGTTAGCTGCCTGCGTGGCATGCTAGAAATATTACACGAAGCAGAAGCGGTAGTCGGTGTTGCCATTCATGGATCACAGCAGTGTCGGACACAACTGTAGCCGAGCACAAAGGTACAATGTGAGGTTATTTTCTCATACCGTGTCACTCCATTCACCTCCAACCGTTGGGGGACATTGTGTCCGTGCCGCAAAAACTTCTTCGTCACTAAAAGAAAGTTAGCTAAAGTTGTCAGGTTGTTCGCAGAGTCTCCACGCCACAACTTTGACTGACACACGGTTTTGTATGAAGACGTAGCGACCACCAACTTCCACCCTGTCAGTAAACTCTGATTGGACAGATTGGCAGGACAATCTCGGCCTACGCGGAGCTAACGGCAAGCTAGCCGGAAAAAGCTAGAGCGGTACCGGAAGTTTGGTGTCTACCCTTCAAAATAAAGCGCTCAACATGCAGCCATTAAAACAGTTAGGGAGTAGCAAATCTGAAATATGCAACACTCAAAGTAGCACACACTTATTGTCCCACAAAATAATAAATAAATAAATAAAATAAAAAACGAAATTAAATTAAAAATTAAATTAAATAACATAAAAAAATATGATTTCAGCTTATTTTCAACCCCACTCAATATATTTATGAGTCAAATTGGCAGCAACAACAACTGTGTCTCAGCCATATTCATCCTTTTTTAGTGTGTCCTATTTATGATTTATGTTTTCATCTATGCTACTACTTGTGTTTTCTCTATTTGCAGGAGTCTATTTATCCTAAATGTTGTGTATGTGTTGTGAAACTAGTGAAGATGTTTCCTTACTTTGTTGGGCAAGATACTGAACCCCAAATTGCTCCTGATGGCAGTTTCATCGGTGTGTGAGAGCTTGTACGGTAGCCTCAGCCACCAGTGTGTGACTGTGTGTGTGAATGGGTTAATGTCACATGTAGTGTTAAAGAGCTTTGAGTGGTTGGAAGACTAGAAAAGTGCTTTACAAGTGCAATCCATTTACCATTTACTATTTACTATTTACATTAAAGGTGCCACATTATTAAAAGTCAGATTTCTTTTAAAAAAATTATAAAGCAGGTATAGGTGATACATAAATACTGTGATTGTATCAAAATGCTCAATTAAAAGAGAAATGCTCGCAGTCCTTAATCAGAAACTGTGCCTTTAAACGAGCCGTTAAGACTCATATCACAACTATACTATATAAAGCTAGAAACTGCTGCCACCGTGACATTACAGTTATTCCCTGGCTACACTGACAGTGCCTAGATGCCAAGCATGCAGATGTAGAAAACCTGAAAATACTGACAAGAGAGAGCAGACTGGGAAGGGTGGCTCAAAGAGACAGATGCTAAATTGGAGCATTTCAGACAGAGGGTGAACAAAGATATACTCAGGCAGATGGTATGAAAAAAAATGTGCTTGCTAAACATTACATCATGCTAACATGTTCTAGTAGAAACCAGAAATACAAGTATGAACCTTAAAATGAGCATAACATGGGACCTTTAACTTGGTCAGGAGCTTCTGACCAACTCATCAGTGTTGGGGAGTAGTTAGGCTACATGTAGTTCAGTTAGTTAGTATTTGCTTAGTAGTTAACTACTTTGGGTCATGTAGTTTTTCTGTAGTTTAATAATTACTATTTTTTTTTGCCATGCAGTACAGTACAATACTAGCTCACTGGTCAGGCTTGTCATTTAATGACCACCTGATATTTGATTAAAATCACCTCTGGTTTGCAACCAAGATGTCTGTGAATAAATACCACGAATTTCCTCCCCAAATTTCCACCCCAATAACTGCTCCCTATCCTCTCTTTGAAACACATACTCAGGCTGCCAAGGTGACGACTGCCCTGCCATAGTCCCAAATCAAACTCACCTTCACTTTGCGAAGTAGTTATATCATCATGTAACAATATGTAATTCCAGATTTAGATTGTGATCCTGTGATGTAGTTTGGTTGTAGCTGAATGACCTCTCATTGTGACATATCTAGGCTAGTAGTTTAGTAAACTACACTGCAAATCACATGGTCCTTCTTGAGAGTCTGCTGGTTGCCATGCTAATGCAGATATCTAAACTTTCCACAATACTGATAATCTCTACTATGGGTGATGGTATGTCTTTCAGATTTGGGGGGCACATGAAATGTTCTGGGGGTTTGTCTCCAAGAAATTTTGTGCATCAAACATTAAATTTCTTGCATCCAAGTGAATTTTTCTGCACTGATTTGTGCCTGTTTTGTATCGGTTTATAGGAGAAAAGGTTTCCGTTTATAATGGCTACTTTTAATGTTTTTATTAAGATGGGGGATCCTAATGATAAAGGCAGTGAGACCTTCAGCGCAAGTGTTTTGTGTCCCTGTCTCTATAATGAGAACTTTACTGTGTAGGTCTAAACCGGAAGCGACTTCTTAACTCGTTAGTTTTAAAAACTTGACATTACGTCGGCAGAAAGTAAAGCCACCGGCGTCAAACTGGAAGCTATATTTAAAGCTGAATGTGTAGCCTGACAGTGACTGATAGGGCCGGGGATAAAATTCCTGAGTCAATGGTGTGTGTGTGTGTGTACACTCTGTGTTTAGAAAAGCTCTGACGTCACAAGTTAATACTTCGATTCCAGTGTCTCAAACCAGTCAGACCTGCACGGTCAACAATGCAGGTCACACACCTTAAAATGTGGCTCAACTTGATTTACCTCTGCGATTGATGTAGAATGTGTGTGTGCAGTCACACTCAGTGCAGGTGAGTTTTATCAATGTGCACCACATGCAAAAACATTAAGAGACCCAGAGTCGCCACAATTACAATTTATATGGTTAAATGTAGCTGCAACTGTTTCAACCATGAAGTGAATAATCATTTGGGCTGGCCTAGTCCAGAGAATGTCTATAGGGATTCTTTCTGTTGTGTCCTTCTTCTTTTATTACCTTCCTTTCCTTCCCTGTGTATGACCACAAACATATACTTCAAGATATGATTCACGTGTTTTGTGACCCACGGCCTTGAAAGTCCACATATTCAATATAATGATGGTTATAAATCAGAGACAAGCAGCAAATCATCACAACGGAGAAGCTGGAAATTGAAAAAGGACTCAGCAATTAATCAGTTATCAGAACAATCAACTTATTGATCAGTCTGAGTGTTGTTTCAACTTTAATTTATATGTTATTGAGTTTATGTTCCTGTATATAGATACATAAAGGTCAGTATGTTAAGATATTTAGATCTTTAATGACAGGAAACAAAACAAACAGGTACATTTTCATATTTTATGCTTTCATATTTCATAATTTTCGTACATTTGTCGTATAAAATTGCAGTTTTACCAAACATCTTTGGTAACAAACATGCACACTACCAAGCAGAAACATAATACATTACCCATTGAACATTTCAGTGAGATTACCAATATCCTATAATGTCAGTATTTCTCACACACTCACACACACAATGCACACATGAACACACGTGTGTAAGGATACACAATCACATTTGTAAAACCTGTGTTACTGCAGCCATTATGCAGTGATTAGCGAAGGCGATGACAGGTTTTCCTCTTCATCAGCAGGCCTCTCCTGGGAGTCCCATTGGCTCCATCCAGCCTATTAATGCTCCCCAACATGAGGAGGGAGGGGAGTGGTACCTCCCATGGTGGCTGCCCTTACCCGCACTACACACGCTTTCATTAGTGTGTTAGCTAAATGATTGGCCTCAGGACAGCCCCCGAGCCCTGCAATGCATGTGTTAGCTTATATGTTCCATCCACTGGGCAATTTATTCATGTATTCATCCATTTCTGCATCTGCACTCGTGATGGCATCATTTGGTAAATTTGATTGTATTTTCTCTAAACTGAATGGGAACAGCATTGGAGGAGAAAACACCAATGAGACAGAGTATACAGCAGTGAGAGTCCATCAGCAGTGTGGAGTTACACAGGATTTCATTTATAGTGACAAAACCTGAGGTGAAACAATGTGCAAACACACAGGTGTATAGAGCTGAGTGTGGAGCTGAATGATTAGTTGATTAATTGACGAGTAGGAAATCATATTCATAATTGATATATTGTTTAAAGTGTTTTCATTTAAGCTTCTCACATGTGGGGATTTGCTGTTTTGCACGGTTTGAACATATTTTAATTTTCATTTGTTGGTTGGAAAAAACAAGCAATTCAAAGACGTCACCTGAGACGCTTGGAAATTGTATTATCATTTTTAACTAGGTCATTTTCTTACATTTGACAGACCGAGAATTAGGAAAATAATCAGCAGATAAATTGGTGATGAAAATAAGAATTTGGAGCCCTGGTGCACTGTGAAGTTTATTGAATTCCAAATTTTTCAACAATACCGAACCACCTCTAAATAAATAAATAAATAAATAAATAAACATCCTAAAAAACCAAGCTCCCTGAACAACACCAGACAGAAAAAAATAATAAAATAAAATAAATAAGGACTTAAACTAATAGCTTAAATAAAACAAAAAAAGAGATAAG